CCGGATCCCTCACAGACCTCACAGTGGTAAAACAACACAAACATCTTGGTTTGGTCATTGACTCAGATTTATCGTTTAGTAGACATGTCGACTATATCTGTAGCAAAGTCAGTAAAGTTGTTGGCTACCTCGTGTCTCACTGCTCCCACCTACCGCTTGAATGCATTCGCCTTTTTTATCATTGCTATATTCTCCCCATTTTTCTCTATTGCTCAACCGCCTGGTCATCCCTACTAAGTAAATCGTTAATGAGTACCCTGGAAGTCCACAATAAGAGGATACTCAAAGTCCTTTTCCGCAAACCATCATACTTTCCTTCTGCCGAGCTGTATGATATGTTTAACACCTTCCCTATCTCTAGTCAAGCGGATCGAAAACTGTGTATTGTTGTTCATTCTATTCGTCTTGACAAAGCCCCGCCACACTTGCGTAAATATAACTGGTTTCTTCCCACTCGTCCTACGCGCAATCCCTGCACTTTACCTAAAGCCCGAACCTCAGCTTATACCAGATCTTCGTTTTTCGCTGCCAATTCTCTCTGGCTGGCCCTGCCTCTATCAGTAAAATCGTCTTGTACGCTAAAGGATTTCAAGGCCAACATGAAGCTCGTGTTCTAATAACTGGTAATTCTTCATCCAGGTTTGTTTCTCTTTGCCTCCAGTAATGTGCAATATTTATTAATTTTTGCTTTGTTTATGTTTACTGCCATGGCTGGCTACCACCCCCCTCCCTCCATATTGGCCTATATTCTCTGGCCACGGGAAGGTGAAATAAATAAATAAAATAAATAAATAAATACCATGACAACATTGTCTTGGTGATGTGACCACAATATTATTGTTCATTATCTGCATGTTTTTGCGGGGCTTTACCCGGTCAGCTCACTACATGTATACAAGAACACCATGTACCACAGCGAGCTTTCTAGTTTCTACCAAGTGAGAGAAGTAAGTACTGCAAGAAGGGTTCATTCCATTTATCATACGACCCCGTATTGTTATCCGCACGTCCATTGTACAACTACAAGTGAGCCGAGTGCAGCCACTAGAAGGCAAAGCATCCATGGCAGTACGCCGATGGGAGTCTTTCTCTATCGTGTAGAAGGTTGCGAATACAATGACTACATACATTTTGTACATGTGACTATTGTAGACTATTTATTGTAGTTACCTGCCAGTAGGCAGTACATCATTGTAGATCTACATAATACTAAAATGACTGTAGGAGTGCGGTCGACCTCTCGACTCCATGCAACTCACACACACACACACACACACACACATTGCATGTTCAACAACTCCAAGATTCGGCGGTACACGACTCGAACATGGACATGGTCTGACCAGCCCTTGGTATTATTGGTTACCGTGACGGGTTCAAATTAATTCGTTACCCGCCGATTGCCGTAATAGTAACACTACATGCTGCATGATTGAGGCGAGGGGCATTGTTTTGGACGATAGCAAGGGTGATCGGTATCTTGACTGGCAAGTGCTAGAACGCTCTATCCACTTAGGCAAACGTAGTGACGATACAATCATAATAATGTGTAGCCTCCCGTTCTCGGCGATGTACTAACTAACTTAGTTGTAAGTTGATTATAGGCAAGTACTATGGACTTGATTAATTTGTTCCCAGGAGCGGTGTCTTCCTTTCAGAGTTGTTGTTGTACTTGAGTTTCTTTCAGAGTTTGCTACTACCAAAATACCACAGTAGAACAATGCACATGCATCATTATAATTATATTTGTACACGTCCTCAATCTGGGGACAGTGCTGTTTCGTCCTCTACCTCAGAGCCCGATACAACCTGTATTCCTGTAGGCTGTACTGTGTAGAGACGGATCAACTCAGCACAAATACATGATGTACATGATTGTACAAGGAGGAAAACTTCCTTCTGCAAGCGGAGAGGGCTCAACACAATAATAGTCGCCTGATGATTGCATTGAGCAAGAAACTCTTGATTGCGACACATCTGTAAACCTCCGTTGTGCCTTTTGTGTCACATGACTATTATGTACATGTACAGTAGATGTAAGTGAGTGTTGTTGTTGTTGTTGGATTTTATTTTAAGTCGCAACACAAACAGGCGACGGCGCCTTCTTTTATACATGAGTGACGCCCCACCCGGGATCTGTACACCATCATTATCCACTTCCTTAGTATATTTCCCTGCCTCAGGAATTGGGCAGTTTTGGCTGGCGTTTGTAAATATCTGTGATGGGATTGCTATGCCGGTGAAGCTGTACCTGTGCTAGAGAGTCCCTCATCGTCATCAAATACATAATTAAAGTTGCTGTCTGATGATCGGTTAAAACCGTGAAACTCAGAGTTACAGAAGAAACGCTTTTCATCCCTCTCAAGTGTGTGCAATTATAATGACGTATGGGGTATGCGTGCGGATCGCGCTTGCCGATGCGCAAGTCCGCGCGGCCCTGGCGCGTGGCCTTATCCATCCTCAAATGCAAAGGCAGGGTCACCATTTTTTTAAAATTAATGCTGCAAATTTCTTCTCTTCACGACAAATGACAATCATCCGACTTGTGGCTGGGAGAATTGTTTACACATGTTTACCTAACACACACAGCTAGGCCAATACTCTATAAGGTAACCTCACAGTAGGGGTAATGTCATGTCTTCTGTCTTCTTTCACTCCAGCGAGTGACATCTTCGCGGCGGAAATGTTTTCCTTGGATCGATCCATATGCCGGAAACAGGTCACGATGTTTGGTGATGTGCTTTCAAGGCACAGTGTACAGTGGCATGGTCCATGTGTCAAACACAGATACCCCGAGTACCCGGGTTACTTTGATACAGGAAGATTCTTATGGGACTTATCTCGGCCCGAACGGCGCGCGCGCTCCCCGTGCGCCATCATACTGCTGAGTTAGTGTCACTGTGACGGATAACTGTTCCATCAGGTCGAGGTCGGTGATCTCGGTAGGCGATGACAGGCAGTCATGTTCCTCAATGCGCCGTGGTATTCGCCTGGCTCGGGGCTGCCCTGGGCTGCTGCCCAGGGCTTTGCGCATGGTAGAAGAAGCATGGATACTCCAGCTCACCACCACCAACCCCCAACACATTGGTGGTGCGAAGCGACATAACTCAGAACAGTTAATCCCCCCGGGAACATCATCACCGCCATCTAGCCTTCTAGGGTCTACGGTGTGCCCTGTTCTCGATGCCTGTGTCGAGGAAACACGCCTGACAACGACGTTAGTTAGACAAAAACCTCCGACAAAGACACAGTCGCATGCTTTGAGGGGGTAGAGATAATTACCTTCCCCTGTGACGACGTGACTGGTGAGAATGGCCATGCAGGCGGTGACTGACGCCTTCTTCGTGAGAAGGATACCCGAGTGACCCAGCACATCAGCCACATATCATTTACCACATCACCGCGGGACGCCACATTCCGCGCCAGAGCAGTGCCTCCAGCACTGATCATCTTCCTTTCACCTCTCCCACTACATGTATACAGTCTCCACTGCTCGTAGATCTACTCATCCTAGTTTCTGAACGTGTGGAATTCTGCACCCGTAGATCTACATCATACATGTACATGTACGTCGTACCTGGCACAATGCACTTGCCAAGTGTGTGACCTCGTTGTGTTGTTGTGTTCTACATAACGAGGTTCTTATCGGGGAAGTGACCCGGGAATGCAGTGTCAAATCGTGCGGTGTGTATGGGGGACAATGTGGATCAACACAAAACTTAGTACGTACCGAAGCAAAAATGATGCTGGGATTCTCCCCAGAGACTGTTGAGATATCAGTAACAGATAACACATTCCACTCCAATACTCATTACTCACACAAATGGAACACTGCAAGTAGTTTTGATAGTCTTCTGACGCCATGTCAATTCTACGATGACCATACCCAGGCATACCGAGGATTCAAGTTACAGCAGTGAGATAGGAACATCTGGAGTGCTTTGATGTCAAACAAGATGGAGCAGTTGCATAGAGACGGAATAGATCGCACTATCTCTAACTAACTTATGTGTAAGGGCGATCATGCGATCATGCGATCTACTGTAACTGTTGACATTCACATCTGCCACACACACTTTCAGCATTGTACTTTGGTGCAATCTCTGCGGTAACACGTGCGGTAGGTGGTTCTGCATGGAGTTTCAGGTTTCGGACTTCACCCCAAGGAACAGCAGAGTACGTAGACTCACGATCGATAGTGCACACGGCCCACCCACGAGCAAGGCAATGTCATGAACACAGCTTGCTATGTTACGTTATTGCTTGGAGCAACAGTACACAGTTAAAGGTGTGAGGCATTTGGATATCTTTTTCCTTCTAGAGAGAGAGAGTACGTAGACTCACGATCGATAGTGTACACGGCCCACCCACGAGCAAGGCAATGTCATGAACACAGCTTGCTATGTTACGTTATTGCTTGGAGCAACAGTACACAGCTAAAGGTGTGAGGCATTTGGATATCTTTTTTCTTCTATTTTTTCTATTATTTCTTTAACTTCGGCCAGCACTACACTTCGTCACAAGGCTTGGTGGTTAGACATGGGGAAGTTGCCACAATCATGGGGGTGTAAGGCCGCCTCTCGGCATTTGGGTATCAACGTTTAGCAGATTGAGACTTGACGATGTCCCCACTACTTAACATATAATTATTGTTCTCCCATCTCAGCGGTGGGTTACGCATCAGTGCAGTGAACATGTAAATAATTTCAGAACTGGTCCCCACTGCAAAATTTCATGCCACAATGTACATGTATCAGGAGACCTGAGACCAACAGTAATATTTCCACCAGATCTCTATAATGATACGGCTCTCCAGTATTGACAAGTTAGTACTACTACCTACACTGAGTGACGCCGTGCATGCATGGGATCTGTGACGTTCCTTTGTAAACAGCGGGCTGGATGTAATAATATCAGGCAAATTTGTTCCAAGGCCCTTGTCCTGGCTGTGCACGTTTTCACAGCCCTTGCAACACACACACACACACATAACATCAGTATAAGTTGCCATGTCAAAATGGCAGTCACATTGTAGCTGTTGGCAGGATCTCAGTGTGAATAATGTGTCTCAATCAGTCATGATGCATAGAGTCGTACATGGTACGCGGTGCGGCAGATATCCAATATCGGTTATCATCAAGTGATCGAAATGAATGGGTAAGGTGGGAATCCATGGCTTCACGCTGTGCAACAGGCTTCAAGGCATCAATCTGTCAGTCTGCGAAATACGGAATGTGAAAACATCTACTCAGGCCAAAGCCTAAAATATTGTGAAATAGGTCAAGATAATATTATTTTGATGAACTGGAGTCAATGTGTTAGTGTTCTGTGTTCGGGAATACAGATGAATAGCCCAGGATTCTCAAGGATTCGCTACATCTGATTTATAGCACAGTGGATTGTGCTGCAGTGGGAAGACTGGAGATACAGGACTGCGGCACCATTCCTTCGCGCTTTGTCCACGGATCCATAACCAGCACCCAGCCGCTGCTTGTCGACTTCTTCGGCTTGCTGTCGTTGGCCGGGACGATTTTGAAGACTCTCTGGCCCTCCTTGAGGCTGACCTGCCCGAGCTGGTTCTTTCCGATGAAGTTGCACGCGGCAACACTGGGAACATACACGGTCGTCATTCGCTGCAGACTGTTCATGTTGCTGCTGTGTTCGTTTGATTGGTTGTCCTGCTGAGACAGGCGTGGAAGGGAGGCAGGTCGGCGCATCGGTGGCTCATCATAGATCATGCGATGCTCGCCGTCTTGCTTCGACTTCTCCTTCTTCATGCGGTGCAGACTGGTCCAGCGACGTTTTGAGCCACCGGCCTCCTCGGTGTCCGTCTGGCTTCCACCTCCGTTCAGGCGACGCAGGGAGCTGAAAATCGAGCGGCGCTTGGAGCTCTTCCTCAGCTTTGAGTTGCTGTTCAGGATTTCTGTGTCGCTTGTGTAGCCATTGTTCGGCTTCGGGCTACCCAGCATCGGCGCAGGTGATCTCTTTTGTACGGCATGAGCACGTCGTCCCTCTGCATCATGCAAGAAGAAAACAAACAAACAGACAACAGAGGCACGTCAGTTAGCCATCGAGTAATCCACACTGCATATACCCAAAGCATATTCTGGAAAGAATTTCTACCTGTGGCTGTTTTGCCTTACTCTCAGTCGAGCTGGTAGCTAAGCCAACAAACAATTTCATTTTTGACATATCCATACTGCAGTATCTTTTCTTAGCCAGACCAGGCAGGTTGACATAGCACTGAGACTTTTCCACTATCTGGTTTATACCTACACAATGATTGTAGTTCCTATCTCATGGTCGTATGGAGTGATTCAAGTGTTAGAAACTTGGAATGCTGTGACACACACCCTACGGTAGCTTAGCAAGACAAGGCAACTCCAAGGTGACACGGTGCCCAGTGTATGTGCCAGTCAATGTTTCAAGGACCATTGGCAGTTTGCCCAGCAGTAACACCCTGCACCATCTCACGGGTAACACATTACACACACACGTTACACACTTTGTGATCATTGCTGCAGCTACGGACATGTGCACTGGCCTGAAGGAACTCATTTTGCCAGCGTTACGCACGTACACAACATACACGCCGTACATACATGCCTGCCGCCATCAGTCAGCTGGAAGCAGCAGACCCTCAAGTGTGGCGGATTTGTCAGTTTTACCCTGCGGTCTGGCTCCTATGGCTATTTCGATCGCATTTGAACAAGATTGTTCAACCTTACAACATGTACATTTCCATAGGAAGCACCCGCACAGCTACTGTTCCTGCCACCATGTGTTCCAGTACATGGAGGAGTCTAGATGACATGTGTGGATCTACAAGTGCTAAGAAGACTTCCTTGATCTACTACACACGTGTGTTTTGCCAAAGCCAAGGAGTGCACATACAACCTTGGCGAGGGCCTCTCTGAAGGCTACACAAATGTACAATCATGCACATTGAAGTACATGTAGATCATGGTATGAGTTTCCTTTCCAACCCTCTGCACACATGATACCTCAGACTTGCCAAGAGCCCCTATCTGTACAAGACTTGTAACACTTTAGCATGATAAGCATGGCTCGTACCGCGTGCAAGTGTGGCGGTGGAAACACCGCAAGGTGCTCAGTACCACGCCGTCAAGATGGCGACCCACAAGCACTACCAAACTATTATTATTTTCTCGACTACATGATGAGTACACCAATGCTGACTGTTGTTGACTGCCCCATGCCGCCATGGTGTAGCGAGAGAACTCCTGCTGAGTCCCGCCAAAATTTTATCTCTCCCGTTTGACAGCGTACCCTTGACTGTGTACAACAGGTGCACTTAGGCTTGTCAAGTAGCAAAGAACTTACCGAAACCGTTGTGCTCCGGGGACTCAGGGTCAGCTGTCGCTCCTCGTGCTGTCCCTGTTGTCGTGGCAAAGCCATCCAAGCTCGAGTGCTTCAGTGTGCTGCCCTTGCTGCGGAAGTTGCGCAGCCTCTGCACCAACTTGGACTGCTTGCTCGGACGTTGTTGGCCCGTCATGTCGGAAATTGTGTTCGACCTTTTTCTTTCTGATGGTGCGAATTCGGCATCCGACTCGTACTTCGCCCTCTGGGCTCGCGGGCTTCCGTCGGCGGAGGTCCGGCCTTTTGTTGCTGACGACGGCACGCGAGTCCACGTTTCGTAGTCCGACTGCACCACCTTGCTGCTCTGATACGAGGACTGTGGTCGACTGTCGGCCGTCACTCTTGACCTTCCGGGAGCTTTTCGCGTGCGAACGTTCAACTCCGCCACAATGTTTTTCGATCGACTGGTGTAGCCCTCAGTGTCCGACTGCACTGTGTAGCTGTGCCTTCGCGAAGACGCGGATGACTGATGGTGACTGTGCGTCGGGCTACTGTTGACCGCCCGTCTGGTTGCCAGAGTGGAGTTCTGCGACTTGGGCCGCCGCAGGTCTTCGGTTGCAGTGGTACCTACACGACCGGACTTTTGCTGAACTTGCGCGACGTCATATCTTACAGGATGCGTAGAATCAGTGGTGCTGGACAAATGCTGGCTCTGGTTGGCCAAACTGTTGAAGACTGTTAGCTGCTTAGGAGGAGAGAACGGATCACCACATGCCATGGTGTCGAAATCGTTACTGAGCTCGTCCAACGTGCCCGGACTGAGCAGAGCTAGGTTACAGAACTCACTGGGGACATACCCTTCCTGCTTGCCACTGGGGTTACGCGACGGTAGGCGCACATAAAGCCATGCTCCGTTCTGATACAAAGCAGTGGCGTATTGCCCCTGCTGCACCCGGATTTCTACTTCGCAGCAGGGTTCATAGTTCGCCAGCACGACCACCTCAATATCTCCAGGCTCGGAATGCGACGCGTTCACGAGGTCTTGATGAATTGGTAGCTCTTCGCAGCCAGGTAGATTGAGGGCAGAGGGCTTGGGACGATGATGGGGCGGGGGGTGGCGCGTGGTTGCACTGAGGGGAGTGTCTTCATCCAAACACACGCTAGACGCTGCCGAGACGAATCCGCTCTCCTCGTGATGGCTGTGATCCTCGATGCTGGTGTCGTCACTAGATGAACTGCTGCTGCTGCTGGCGCTGCTACTGGCGCTGCTGCAGGCTACAGCAGCAGTTACCACACGCCGTTTTCCCGTCAGCACTCCACTGTTAGCCGTTGTCGGACTATTCACAGACCTATAGGCACTTGTGCTATTGCAGTCTGTGTCTCTTGCCATGGTACATCCTGATCTCGTCTGTATTTGATGCTGCTGTTGCTGCTGCTGGCCGTCCGAGGCAAGATGATCCGGATCACCAGCCATTCTCCCTGTGGCCCTAAACTTCTTCTTCCTTTCTATCGCTTTCACTGGAACGGCGAGGTTTTTCTCCACCGTGAGCCTCCTCAGACTGAGATGGGTCGGCCTGTGGAGTGCACACTCTTTATTAGCGGCCGCGTCCCGCTGCGCCAGCAGGGTCTGGTCGAGCTGTAACAGCGCTGGTACAGCTGGGGCTGTTGATATGCACGTTGGTGACACACTTCCAGAGCCAATGTAGCAGCCAGCACCCGTTGCCGAAGTGAAGCCCTTGCCGGATCGGGGCGCTGAAGCGGTCAATGACATTATTGCTGGCGAACTACACGAAGCACTCAATATCCACGCACGCGTTTTAGACACAAACTACGCTTTGTCAGTTTCCCAGTCTCAGCCCGGAGTTTCCTTCGTCAGAGGCTTGATGGACGGTTGCCCTGTGTGCAGTAGACGTGAGCTAAGGGGGGAGATGGCAAGCCCAAACTAGTGGTCATGAACCTTCCTGTCAAGCGAACGATGCGGACTCAATCTTGCACAGAACGGTTGGGATACGGCACTTGCACTCGAATACCGCCGCCACTCTCAAGAGAGATCGACAAGGTGTACGAATTGGATGGGCTCAGTTAGGGACCTGAACGCTCTTTGCGAACGTCACACTTCGCACAGAGGTCTTGGACTGCTTATGGCACGGCTTGGTTCACAGCACGTCTATATAAAAAGAATCTTGGCCGCAGAGCTTGTACGGAACGGCCAGGCAGGCACAGCACGAGCCTCTGTATCCGAGAATAATGACTGCCTCCTTTCAACAGGACGAGGTTACGATCTGCTGTGGATGACGACGGTTCTGCCAGTACGAGGTCACAGCATCCAGCATACAGCAAGCAGTATCTCTTACATGGACAGGGTCACTATCGGTACATTGTCTGAAACACTGAGATGGTTGCAATTGGCATCGGTGAACATGGGCGCGCACACATGCAGGCAGCTGCGCCAGGATGCAGTGCTAGTGGCACTCTGATCGTTTGACGTACCACTTGAGAAGGCAAGCCTAGGCCACTTGTGCTGGTCGGTTGGGCCGACCTCTTGTGTTATTGAGACGATGAGAGAGCTACTTTTAGGCTACGATGCTCAACATTGCCTCTCGGGATCACACGATTATCTCGTGCTCGATGTCAGTGTAAATACGGCCCGGGTGCGATCAGAGCACATGTAACACTATTGAAAGCAGGTGAACTGCGACATGAACGGTGAAAGATATCATAGAACAGTTCTTCTCCCAACGGTGGAGAAGGCACTCTGCGAAGTGCTAGACTGGTGCAGGTGATCAGGTCGTTTTATGATCTCGATCTTCACTTCACTTGCCACCGCTTCTAAAGGCTGCATATCTGCGCAGAACTCCTGCAGATGTTGGCTCTTTTGTATACCTAACCTTGTTGGTATTGTTTAGTGTAGCCAATGCTGCTGCTGCTGCAGACGACTTCCTGCGATCCCACACGCGACACGAACAGCCAGGGGCTACGAGTGGCAGTGGCCGACGGGCACAATTCGCGCGTTTGGCCTATGGACACCCCTGCGTCCCGTACCTGCTTAACCCACTAGTTAGGTGCTGGTGCTACTGCTGCTGCTGCTGTCCAGAAAACCCTTTCCAGATGATTGGTGCAGCAGCGTAGGAATTGCCAGGTCGCGCGACTGGAACAGTCGGCAGCCTCAACTTGCCTACATCCGGTGGAAATGAAAAACCTTCGCCAGTGCCGACGACAACAACACACAGGCAAAACACGCTCTCACACTCACGGTTTCCCACGCCACAGTCAGTATGCTACACTGTACTAGCTGGCACATGCTCTCGCACAACCTGGAAATTCATTGTGGCTGCCAACACGCCCATACTGGTCGCATATGCAGTACAAGTCATGCACATGTACATACACGATGAGGCCAGCAAAATCATGAGCGCAGACTCAGGGTTGAGTCGCGCGCAAATCGTTTCGGTTTCGTACATGTTTCTACAAGCCGCAGTAGCGGTGATCCACTGGCATGCGTGGCGGACGAGAACAATGTAGTCGGTCGAGGACTGCGCGCAACAAACACAAAGCGAGGGGCGGTGTTCGTCCAAGACGTCACGTCGGGCAGTCAGTCAGTCACTGCGCCTCTCGATCTCCCCATAGAATATGCGTGCATTGCATACTGGTCTTCCTGATTGAAAGTGAAAGTCCTGTCGAGCTGGGCCGCCAGTGTGTTGATTACCACTGACATGCTCGCGCTCGTGAGCGGGGCACATCATTGAGGAATACCTATAAGTATAACGATGTATTAACGTATAAGTCATCATGCACTGCCAGCCTGCGGCAGGCCTTGTACATGCAGCATGGCTGACAATCAGGACGAGAGCTGCTGTCCGTTGCAGTGCTAAACCTACAACAAGACTTCGAAGTGTGCATGCGAAGAGTCTCGCCAAGCACGGCTGTCACAACGAAGCCAGCTAGCTAGTCAGGGTTGTTTGACCGGAAGCAGAACGCCTGGGACCTTGCAAGTTGCAGTTGGCTGCCCGTAGCACTCCTTCAAGGTGTCTGTTGCAATGCGCTTGCTTTCAGCATTCACTCCTGCCATAGTTTGTGATCGTTGTGTCAGATATTGATTGCTGGTTCGAAATCAAATGGAACGTACTTTGCAAAGCAACCCCAACCTTCCCGACTGTGTGGGCTAGATCATTGGATTCCTATGAGCACGAGTACAAACCACAGTGAACTATTCCCAGGAAAACAGTGAACCCACCAAGCACCACGCCAAGGACAAGGTATATGATTGCTTCTATATCGAAATGCACGCCACATGTCCTGCGCGAGAAGGATGCGGCGGATATGTAAGCATCTGCTTGTGTTATCCTCAAACCTCAACAGTGCAAGAGCTCTACAGAAAGATACGAAAGCTACTGCAAGGACGTTTACTGATACGTTCTTGCCCTTTGACGTCCAGACGCAATGCAAGGCAATTCCTCGTCGGTGATAGTATCTCCGTGTTTTGCCACTCAGCGTACTATATCGGCAGAGTCGTTTGCGCCAGGTCGTTTCCTTACCATACAATAGTCTCGTGTGTGTGTGTGTGTGTGTGTGTGTGTGTGTGTGTGTGTGTGTGTGTGTGTGTGTGTGTGTGTGTGTGTGTGTGTGTGTGTGTGTGTGTGTGTGTGTGTGTGTGCAGAATACAGTGTATTTCCATTGTGTATGTGTGAAGTATGGCCACGGGGCCCGCGTCGGCGGCGGGCATCGACCGGTAGTCGTTTACTTTGGTGGCTACCTCTTTAGCGTGTCTCAGCCCATATCTCCTGCAAACATAATGCGCGCGTGACTGTCAACAGGTCTTTCGCGGTCTTCCTCCAAAGCCTCAACTAGGCTGTAGACTGTCCAGAAAGGATAGTACCTTCTTCAACACGTCGAGAGGGCTGGTAATACCATCGTGCACCCATTCAGCCTTGTAGGAAGCTCTGTGATTGGCCTGCAGCTACAGGACGAGATGAATTCCTCCGCGTCTCACCAGTGTCACGAGTGGCAAACGTCCACCTCCAAATCCATCTCCAGGTCGGATGTGCGTTTCCCAAGCAATTTGTAGCGGCGTGTAGCTGCCATCACGCTGCACGGAAGATGACCGTCCGAGTCTTGTTGCTTGTCGAATAGCCACTACAATAGCACTGGAATGTGATCTGCTAAAGCCGAAGAAGGTGCTAATCCAGTCGACAACATTGCTTCAGAACATTACCAATGATATTGTGTGGAATATACGAGTACTGGACCTACTGCTGGTGAACTACAGTCAGACGTGTACTCTATAATAGTTAGACTCCGGGGAGCACATACTGAAGTACGCGTACACAGGTGAACTACCACATCTACATGACATTGCACATGTATATGCCTTCACTACCACATCTATAATATCCCTTCACAAACATGTACAATGTACTGCGCCAGACAATGACTACGTAGTCCGGTCATCCCAATCACTACAGTAGGATGTGACGGAAGATATTCCTACTCCTCGTGGCAGTCTTACCACGAAGTCTGCGAATCACACTACCAGCGTAATGTGCACAAATCTACTCAAGCATGCATTGTTATTATTTACATTAGACTGTTTTCACAGCCATTTTATGACATTAGACTGCAGTACTCAAGCATGCATCCAGTGAAAATGCTCTCACGTTTTAGTACGGTTTTACATTATAAAGTGATAACATTTCACTACAATTGTAGATGCAAACTGCATGAATATTGTAGTGTAGAGTAATTGTACTACACGAAGTCGAGACTGCTACTAGTGTTAGAGTTACACGAGTTTCGGGCAGTCTTCTTATGTACTTGAAGTGATTCTCTGATGAACTTGGTCTTTAGAGACGCGTCCATTTGTCCATTCTGAACATTCCAGGGAAACGATGAAGCTCGATCCTACAAACGGAAATTCTTCAGACCAGATCTCTGCGGACGGCAAAGCTACGCTACAGCAGAACAGGATCTACCACTGGATGTGGCCAACTGTATGATCATATGTTGTTACAAATTGTCTCGAGTTGCTTCAGTCAGTTCGTTGCCACTGACTCGGTGACTGATTCAGGCTCTACACGAGTATGGTGTATGGTGTGTGTACCTCATTTCTGCTTCTCGGCACACAGGGTCACACAGCAGCGCTGTCTAGAACTGCCGTCATCATTCGTTGAGTCTGACTAGCCCAAACGCTGCTGCTACATCTACATGCGTGTTGAGGCGTGACAGCTATCGTGTAGGGGAAATGCGAGCGACATGGACAAAACGCGGGCCAGCTTGGGCAGGACACCCTCACCTTCCATTATCGTATGAACGATGTACACACGGTCTTCCTTTACGGATCTACATGACTTGTACATGTATATTACTAGTACTAGATTCATGCATGGAGCACTGTGGCGCACATCTACATAATACACAGTGGTTAAAAGTTGTAAGAAGTTCTCTTTCGACCAGACGACGATTGCAAACACCAGCGCGAACAGTTCACCGCGAATACTTCACGACAGCAAGTAGATTCTCCTGACAAGCTTGTTTCATTCCGTAGAAGGTCACGGGAACCCATCACAGTGTGTGGTTTTAAGAAAAAGTAATGCCAGGAGAGAAAATCCCATTTGTTGGCATCCAACAACACATGCACGAATACTCTGCACCGCACTGTAGCATTTGTCAACAGACTCAGTGAAGCTGCATGCTCAGCTCAACATCTGAACCCGCGCCAGTACAGTCCAGTACGTACTATCGACCACAATAGCCGCCGGACCCCCCATCCCCCAGCCCAGTGTTTCATGTTACGTACCGCGCCGGTACTGTGTGTATACTGTTCCTGTGTACACGCCTACACGTATACGTGTACACCAGTAATGAACACGACGTGTTTGCAAGCTCTACCAATTACTATTGCCATGGATGTTTGCACACCCCAGAGCTACTGGAAGACAAAATTGCTCAGAACTCCAAGGAGTCCAATGCAAGGCGTCCAATAGGTTTATTCTTTGAACTGTTACTTGCGTTACAAAGCACAGGATGCTGTCGCCCCAAAGGTGAGCCTGTTTCGATGTCTTCCCTTCTTCGTTAACACAATCGCCTTCCCACGCGCCTCAGTTGACCTGTTTTGCCACACTGGATGCACAGTCATTCTGTTAACAGTTTAGCCGTCACCAGGTCACGTGCATGCATTGTGCCAACTACGACTACTACGAGTCTTGGCAAGTGTTGGCCAAGACAAAACAGTTCCGCCATTGCGGTGTTGATTGCTTCCACGGGGTGAACTTCGAAGCGACCATGAAAACGAGACAGCTTTCAGCGCGTTGAGCCAACACACAGGTTAAACGGCGAATATTGCTTCTCCGGGCTATAGCCCACGATAGCCCACGATAGCGACTTGAGTAAAGTGCCGGAGTCGTATCGCCAGCCGAGACGACATTTTCGGGCAACCACTAGCAGGTGTAGAAGGTTAATTTTCAATTTATAGCCTTGGTCAAGCACTTAGCTTAGCAGCTAGCCACGTAATCAAGCAATTGTCGTCGAAAGCTGACATGTTGCATGAGTAAGAGCCAATTGCGGCAATACATCTACCACACAATATTCTTGTGCTAACAAGCATTGAAACTGTGACGTCATCATGATGTTATTGATAATGTGACATTGTAGTTCAGTGATTCGCTAGGTGAGACAAATATGGTCTGCGGCGCTATTTGGCCAAAGCAGGGTGGTGGACTTACACGTCGTAGCCATGAGCAGTAGTAGATGTCGGCAGAGTCCGAATTCCTGACACGTGTACGGGCAAGGAAGAGTACAATGCAGACGTACTCACTTCAACAAGATACTGGGAGCTAGCATGCCGGTGCACCGGTGTTGGTTTGGTAGTGAACCACTGAATGACAGTACAGTAGAACCTGTAACTAAAGACCACCGTGACTAGCGACCAGCCTGGTACTACAGGCCACTTCGCCAGGCACGGATGGTCTCACATTCATGTATGGTTGTGCAGCGAAAACCTCTAACTAAGGACCACCTGCCCCTAAAGACCGCTTCCTTTGGCCCCAAGGGGCGGTCGTTAGTCACAGGTTTTACTGTAGTAGTGGCCAAGTGCAAACTCGATCAAGCACATGTACATGTACAATGTACATCGTATGGTGGGGAATAGGCAAAACCATTGCAAGAAGCAAACACACCTCACACACATACGCACGCACACACACGAACACGCACACACAATGCACATTCATACACACACGTGCGCGCGCAAAACGTCATCGTCGTGTTGGATCATCATGGTGCAGACTGATGGTGTGTGATTCGTTGTGTGAATGTGGGCAAAGAGCGCAGTGTGGAGAAGTGGACATTGATCATGTAAGAGTATTGACACCTTCACGCAATGACTATGTACAATAATTATTCTATTTACAGTGATGCTCGGAGCCAGCAACGAGATGAGTGACTCCTAGACTCGGTAGCTTCGTTTCCATGCTTGGCCCATGTAATTGTTATTGCTCTTTGACAGCAGCAGCAGCACAGTTGACACAGAACAACATGGCCAGCATGTTGTGAAGAAGACAGTGGGCGACTGTGCAGAACGCAACACTCGACATCACGACTGTGTAACCATGAAAACCACCAAGCTCCCTTCCCCCACTCACATGGAGGGCATGTAAAAAAACTGCTTCGTCTCTCAAGCTCAGCGCGTTTATGACGTGCAGCACGAAATCGGGTCCTATGTTGTGTCAGACTGGCTCGAGTCGTAGACCTGGAGACTAAAATGCAGAACGAAAATCGCTAAAAGCAGATCGTGAGAATCTTGCGATCTGTCTTGCATGAAACAAGAGTTGACTGAGCGTTTCGCGAATAGACTGCATACAGCACGTAGATCTACAACCTTACTTTGTACCAGAGACAGACCGGTGTCCTTGTATTTGTCAGGCCAAGCTAGAGAAACAAGGCCAACGCCTGCAGTGTAAACTGAGCCATGTTTTGACGGTGGCACATGTAGGTGAGAAGGCCAATGCGAAAGGAAAACAATTCGTGCTTGACGCGCTTGATTATGGCTCGTTTGGGGTGTGAAGTTTCTTCGCGGTCGCTTCCAACGCTCCAGTCGTTGCTGGTAGCAATAGTGTATTCGGTAGTAGTAGTTCTCGGATGCGTCTCCGTTTGCTGTTCACAACAGTGTCCGACCGGTTGCGACTGTCGCGAGGCAAGCCTCTACTGCAATGCCAGGCACTTGCGAGACTTCCCAGCGGCGGACAAGCTCCCCGCCGGCCTGACCTTCGCGTAAGTGCCACTATCACAAAATTTATGTTGTAGTAGTTGCACTGCCTAAACTAAAGTAACTAAACTGCATTGCCAGGCAATAGCTGCAGTCAAGTACTAGTCATGTACATAGTCATGTACATGGACAATGTCATGGGTTCTGCATATGCATGCCTGTGCATATGCAGAAGTATATAACATGGACGCATGTGCATACGGCAATGAGACCGACAATTTTAATGCTATTGCTGTGTGCCTATCACGCACCAAGCTTGTTCGTCATGGCTATGAGTTACGACGTCTTTGTAAGTAGGAATACTCTACTAGTACTAGTAGTAGCAGACACCGTCTCAGCATTGCCTTGGCTGGGCCTTGTGACTCAAGTAACTAATAAAAATAAAATGTTACTTGTCAGTCTGAGTGTGTAGACTGTAGATTTATTGTCATACTGTACAATGAGGCGTGTACATGTACATGCAGTAAGCGGCAAATAGTCAAGTCATGTGAATGACTGCCAAGGCCAGGCCAGGTTGAGAGTGAAAAAGGGTCCTTTCCATCAGCTGTGCTTTGTCTACAGTACTGGTGGCAATCATATCTCAATGGATGTGTGTGTGTGTTTATAGTGTTGGATGGTTTTGAACTCAGACAGTGCCTATGGCTCTGTGGGAAGGCACAGAGGGGAGCTATTTCAGACTGCCCCAAACCACCTCCATGCAGAGGCTTGCCATAGACACCAAAATAGAGCGCACTCACCCCCAGCACAATTACTCCTTGCACAGCAAGAAACACATGGTCAACTTGAGAACTACCAGCAGTCAGGCACGGGCTATGTGTGGAAGATATGTTGTAGTGTTGCCCTCAAGGCCCTGTCCCCTTGTGGGGTGTCCATGACTTGAGCTGCTACAATTATAGAGGAACATGTTGTTATTGACAGCACTCTGAAAAATCTCAATAGTATATCGTTTGTAAGGGCAACCTAGCACCTGGATGATGGGGTAAATGCGGCCAATGTGGGAACCTGGTTTGTACCTTGCACCTATCCCAGACAATGGGGAACTCCACTAATCGCATTGGCGCAGGTCGTGGCGCGTTGTGATCTCTGGCCAGAGTGTGATGAATTGTCCCATGAAAGAGCCTGTGTATGCCCAAGTGCATTGGTAATGAAACATCAGAACAGTGACAGAGCAACAGTTAACCCTGGTAGTGGGTAGTGGGAAGTGGGAATGAAGCAGCCAAGTCATTCTATTGATAGCCAGTATTATGTAATTAGGCCCTACACAGGCTACACGGAATCATATCAGGCACAAGTGTGGCTGCAGGATTGGCCATGGGTCTGGGTCTGGAAATGTACTCAGTACTACTGCACCGTGAGCATTGCCGCCTATGTGCCTGGACCATTGGCCAAGGGTCTGGAAATGTACTCATCAGTAATGCATGCACAGCCTTGTCAGCACTTGAGACCTCACCCTGGTGCTCATGATCCTCTACATCACCCAGTTGCAGCACTGTCCGCATTTGAGGCCGCTCCTCGCTGCAGTCATAGTCCTCTACACTCTACAGTGGCATCACCCAGCTAGATGTGAAGCACTTGTTACTAATCAATTGTGAACTCGTGGGAACTTAGACGGCATACATGGTTGCTCCAGACTATGTACTACAGTGCCAGTTGGACCTAGCTGGGGAGTATGCATACTAGAATATTTGTACTTTGCATATGAACTTAGCTTCTGAGTAACTACTATACCTTTGGGGGACAGGTCCAGGACCGAACAATGCAGACGGTGTCAAGCGTAATCTCTGTTATTAGCCTGCAGGGTTGCATGTCATTGTCATGAAGATGGTGTGCATCTCATGTGCCGGGGTTCTCTACTCACTAATCACGCAGTCCCCCCCCCCCCCCCCGCCCAAAATTCTATACAGACTGAGTCCAAGGGTCATTGTCATAGTTCTAAGTCTTCGCCGAATAGTCCCGTTTTGATATCTCAGTCAATGTGTTTCATCACATGCCAAGTCTGGTACATGGTAGGTATGCTCTTAGGTCACAGGCCAAGAAAGCAGGTCAGCCATGCCCCAGTAGAGTGAGCCAGTAGTTTAGTGTTCAAAGTACTAACGTACTTTGGGTGGGGACGCGCCACACTGGTGACTTCACAGCACACATGCACAGCATCTGGATGTTGGATAGTTGCCTGCAGTGGCTGTTGCCAGGTCGTTTTGCATTTTGGGCTGGGCATTGGCTGATCATGGGTGTCTTGGTGTCAGAACTGCGCTGAACGTGATCATTTGGGTTGGAGCCAGGGATAATGAGCAGGGGTGTTAGGGCTTGCCCTGGGTGCTTGACAGGGTGGTGAATTGCTCCTGTGTGTTTGTTAGTCATGTGGAAGTGGCTTTCAAAAGAGTTTTAGTGTGTATTCTCCCATCTTTAATTGATGTATGCTGGCATTCCCATTGGGGAGACCCTAAACTATAGAAGGTGTATTTAGGCATCAGCTTCGTTAGGGTCAAAACACTAACTCACATGTAGATGTTTAGGGCATTGTGGACGAAATTGCCCGGGAGAAACAGGAGCTGTGTGTAGGTGCATTCTATGGTATTAAACCGCCTCGTCTTGTGTGCGTGCAGTACCAGTTCATGCTACAAGCGTGGCTGTAACCCAAGACCAAAGCTAATGGCATCGATCAGGAAACTCACAGTCTCACACCTCGCTTTGGTCTGGCCCGTGATGGGGCCAACACAGGGAATTGGATAAATTGTCTAGCATGGCCAGCCCCAGGCAGTAATGTATCCCGTTACAGGTTACATAGGTTTGTTGTAGTGTACTTTCCCGAAAGACGAAACTCTCACCAAAAGTAGCACAGGGTATCGGATGGTATCGCGTAGAAGTTGCAGTGTAGGATTCGGGTAGTATCAGGTATACACCGGGCATGCTGAGCATGGTGTGAGCTATGCCTCGTTGGATATCATACTCGCAGAGTATGGCCAAAATGCACCACCATCCGTGCCGGCCCATTGAGCAGGCCTTTTCATCACGTTCACGCTCTCGCCTAGACAAGCACACCATTGGAAATTGCCATAATTTGTTGGTCGGAAAACGGCCGAGGTGTCTCACCAAGAGACCTTGACGGAGGGTTTGGTATACTGCGCTGGGCACTGGCGTGCAAAAAAACTCGGAAACCACCTCTCTCAGTTCCAACCCAAGCCTTTGGTTTCAGGCTTTCTGCATCCGGCCCTCGGCACCATCTTTTCACCCGCCGGCAGGACAAAAGCAGAAGTCAAGCATCCATATATAGCGTGAGTAGAATATGCTGTAGGAATCGAGCTGTATCAGCATGATCAAAGGTGATACCATGAATCTTGTATTTGGAAAAAGTGATGAGATGGTTGGCGTGTACTTGGCGTGTACTTGGCGTGTTTGACTCCAAAGAAGGATGCACACATGCCCAGGCAATTAGGATGGCATGGCCGGCCCAGCTCAGCGGGAGCTCTGGAGGATGCTCAGCAAGGACCACACGTGATCTGGCCCTCTTGAGAACGCCAAGAGTGCCTGGCATGGAGCATGCGGAATGAGCAATACATGGAGATGACCCTGTGTAGTGCTCTACGCCTGGAACATACATGTATGTGTGACACTAAACCTATACTTCTTGTACTTGTAGAGTTGAGTGCTTGATGAGGATTCAGCCCTCTTAGCTGCCATCCATTAGACAGGCAATCACTTGTGTAAAGATGATGGCTGCAATTTGCATGCCTTACTTGCTCAACATGCCTCAGTGGAGGCGGTCGTTTTGATCTGGACGCTCACAGCCCTTCACAGGCAAGGTTAGGCTATAGGGGCCCGACCGCCATGAGCATCCTCTCCATGACAAGGATCGTCAGGAACTGCACACACATCGTAACTTTGTCTGTTTTGGTCCAAGGAACTAATAATATCACTTGGCTCGTGATCTCCTATCTCGTTAGGATGATTTGTAGGCTTGCTCAATTGCTTCACTGTTCCTGAGCATTTGCTCCTAATCTACATACCGGTAATGCATGTAGATTGCCATTGTACATGTAGCACTGGGCATGGGCAAACGTGGACAAGTATGCTGATACACAGGGTGGGATGATCCCTTTCGTCAATAGTATAAATTATTCGTGAACAACCAATCTCCTGCATACAAAGATGGACAGCCCCCTTGCGGCTCCTCAGGGAAAGTTGACACAGATCTCAACTGTTCTATTGCAGATAACCATGTGTGGCCGCATTATAAAACAGCTCAATGTCAAATGGCTGCGTAGTACGTTGCACCTGGTACTTGAGAAAGAGGTACCGTTTATAAAACCTGGTGTCTTTCCTGAAGCAGCAGTGAGATACAATGAATAGAAGTTTCCCATGCACATGCATACTTGTACTTACACCGGAGGGTGTACCCAGTGTGCTGACAGTGCTCAACACCACGGAGGCAGAGCCGCGGTAATACAGAACAGAATAACAAGGACAATCAAGGCTTGTTTGCTGCGACTTGAAGTTTCATGCTCTCGCAATCATCAGGCAACATGTTGCGAGCGCATGAAACTTAAAGTCGTAGCAAACAAGTCTGTTCTATAGTATACTTGTACTTACATGTAATTGTAATTACTTCAGCGCATGTTCCTCATGCAGGTAAGCTGTGCTGTGAAGCCAAGGTTCATGACTAGTGCAAACTCTGTGACTAACTCAGTACTGCACCACCATCTGTGCCTGTGGTCATTCCTTTCATGTGCTCGCTTAGCGCTCTCGCTTCAGGCCACACTATTCATGTAGTTACATGGCTATTTCATGCTCTTGCATAATGTGTTTCACGATCCACTACTCTTGCCCTAGGCCTAGAGATCCAACTTAAGTACCCACCAGTTAATAAGGAATTATGTCGGACAGCTGTGAGATAGCAGAGCATGCTGTCACCCGTTTTCCAGAGTCTTCCTTTCATGTCCATGAAGACCCTTGGTGCGGTTTCATAGGCTGTCTTTGCGGGAACGTAAATCGTATAACAACACCGCTATTGGCTATTTCTCTTCGTTTTACACCAGATAGTGAAGGGTATGTGGATGGCATGCATTTGAAAGGCTTTCGTCTTGCGGTGACTGGAAATTTAATTGAATGATGGTGGTGAAAAGCAATTTTGCATTCGATCAGCGGGAGGGATTCAGTTTCAACACACAAAATGTGACAGGCAATTCGGTAGAATGAATTACACTGGATGCGTCAGCATGGGGCCGACAAAGGAACAGAATAATTGAAGGCAGGCATGGACGTGTAATGGTAGGCTCCAAGACCGATCACCTGAGTGACGTCCTCGCTGATCCTCAATGAAAATCTTTTCAGTCCAATGGCTTGGATATGACTGCAGTACTGCCAACAGATCAAGCATGTAGTATACCAGAATGCTTTCTGATCTGTTTTTTTTTCATAACAAAATTAACATACCTGAAGTGGCCCATCAAAAAGAGTAACATCATTGTGACAGCCCACCCGGCCCACTGTCGCCACTAGTACGTTCAGTGGAAACTTATGTTACTCTAGCTTGGCTATGGTTGCACTTGCAGTGTATCCCGACTCTAGGGTAATAAATACACAATGTACATTGTAGTTGTCCAGTGCACCGTGAGGCCGATTGTCCTGTACCTAGTTGCACAGGAAGGTGGCTGAGGTGTGATCCCTAACTACATACACAACTCACTATGGTGTATATGGATAATGAGGGGTGTGGAGCGACTGGGAGGTGGCAGAATGCTCCATGGACATGTACTTGCAATACTGAAGTACATGTACATGAAGGTATAATTACACAATTAAGACTAAGTAATAATCTGCCATTACGGGGGGGGGGGGGGTAACAGTCCTAATCTGCACAGGGTGGATTATGATGGGCAGGTCGTCTCATGGACAAATCCTTGTAACTGTTGCAGTGGCACACAGCTTGCCTGCGAAACCAAACCTTCCGTCATAGCCTATAGGCTCGTGTTCTGTTTGTGGACAGAATGGAAGGTAGTTGGGGAGGTAGTTGTGGTGGTGGTGGGGATAGGGGTAGAACTAAAAAAACAACTCAGAAATGGTGCATTAAACTACAAACGTGAGAAGGAGCCTGGGCGTGGATCAGAACCCACAACTACCTCACAGCAGCATTTTTTGCCTTTGCTATGCTGCGCGGCAACTTCAAGCATGTAAAGTGGCCAACTGAAAACTGTGCACCTCTTGAGTGCTCTCTCTATGTCTGGACGAGCATGATGTGTGCGGGGGGGGGGGGGGGGGGGGAGGGGGGGGCTACATGGCTATACCTTCCAGTTATTTGAAGGCACCACTTCTAGTGTTGGAAGTACTAGTACTACACAGTGTACTGAACTGACTGGTCTTGATGGTGGTGCATGCACTATGCCTTTGCAGGACATTTGCTCAGAACAACATCTCCACACTGGAACAGGCAGTGTTCATACAACAAGTGGACATAATTGAGCTGTGAGTGAGAGAAAAAGTAGCGGTCTCAAGGAGTTTATCATGAGTCAATTCACATGCATTCTGGTGATTGCATACATTGTAATGAGCCTTGCTCCACTGTTGTGCTCTGCAATTCACATGCATAGCCCGTTGTGTGTATGTAGCATGTTCCTGTTGCCGCTTTCCTGCAATTGCCAGCAGATAATGGCGGTCGTCGTACATACATTCCATCACCGTCACTATCTAATGGAAGGCATGATTACACCTGGTGCCGAGCCTGACTTGAATCACTCCCCAATCCCAGCATACACTCAGTGCAAGTACATCATCACAATATGCATGGCTTACCATGTCCTGGGGAAGTGTTCTGCTAGCTATTTCTAGTTACCGTCTTCCACTGTTCATGTACCCTGAATTATGGCATCTACTAGTTTGTTGGAATGGGGAACAATGGGCTCGATGATTGCAACTAATAAGGCTATGGGAGTCACCCATGAAAGCACTGTATGTAATGGAATGGGGACGGATGGATGCATGATGCGTACAGGAGACTGAATAGTATGTACACTATGTACTTGCTTGCCTTTTAAAAAATAACAGTTAGTTATCTATAGCATAGGATATGCCAGACCCCTAGCTATGTTACAGTTGCTCCTTGGCTGTATACTATTACTAACCCGGGATCACTGCTGAAGACACTTCTAACCCTTTGTTTGTGAACTGACCTTTCCCCCACATGTACCAGGGGTGTCGCACACGGTACGGTCACTACGGTATTGACAGTACAGTACCACTTTTTGCCCCAGGTACCCCGTGAATCAACAAAATACACTGATCTGGGATCTAAAATTCCAAAATTTTCGGCTCAGCCACCACTCCCCCACGACTAAATTGTACTTCAGATGGCTGACCGTACCACACTAAAATACCTTCCGACGCCCCTGTGATAACAATTCATGATGGTAAAGTGGCTTTGAAGGGGAGGATCATCATGCTTTGAGATTGCCATAGCCTCGAACCTTGAGGAACATAAGCAGTGCTGTTACGATTATACTTGTAATTACTATTATTTTACGTTTTCATGTGTGGCATGCAGTGGAAGGGTGAATAACTCAGGTTGGGTGCAAAGTTGCTCACATTCCTATTTTGAATGATCCCATTCACAGCGATTCTACCCACTGTTTACCTGCATGTGTGTCATGTGTGTCTCCCAGCCAATCCCCAGCAAGGAAGCCCAGTGCCCAGAGCATAGGTGGAGAACCCCTTTCACACGGTAGTGGCGGATGTACAGTCAACTTCGCTAATCACGACTGCGGATATAACGTCAATTCGCGAATAACGACAGAATTTCCATGCCCAGAGCAAAGTCCCATCCCACTGTAATACATATAATGAGACTTCGGATATTACCCACACTTCGCGAATAAGGACACCTTTTTGATGCCCCGCCGAGTGTCGTTATAAGCGAAGTTGACTGTAGAACATGCCGTATCACATTAGATCCCATGGTCAGCGGGGTAGTGGAATGTCCATAAAGGCCTGATACACTATACGCTGTGTTCATACGAATGTAGTTTTGTGTTCAAAATGGACCCTGAGGTAACAGCCACAGTGCAAAGACAGTGTCTCCTTCAACATGCCACTGGACAAACACACAGATAACAGTCATAACACCCCAATCATTATTCGCAAACTGCTGATAGAGATAGAGAAATAGGGCTCCACCAGCTTGAGCAAACGGAAAGTGGAGATTGGAATGCACTATTCAGTTCTTGGCTGGCGGTGTTTTGATGCCCTCCTGTTCATGTGTGCTTCCCGTGGCAGGCACCTGGAACAGAATCATCTGACATCCTTGTCAAGTGGTCATTTAGTGGGCCTGGCTCGACTGGAAAAGCTGTAAGCAATCTGTGTCCGTATGAGATAAGAAAGCACTGAAAGAGTGGAATTCGGGAACTTGTAATGGTGATCAGTTTCCTTATCAGCCCAATGTCAGTCTGCTTGTACCTATCTTTCCATCAGTGAAATGCCTTGCCTAGTTCAGCAGTGTATGGTACAACACGGCATTGACACTGTTTTCGAACATGACAATGTACAAGGCACTGAGTGGGGCCACTGTGGGTGTAGGCATATAATACTTGCAGTACGTGTACGCATACACCCCCTCCTCTACACACAAACACACACACGCACACGCACACACACACACACACACACACACACACACACACACACACACACACACACACACACACACACACACACACACACACACACACACTGCATACCTGTGGATTCAATCGATCTTATCTGCAAGTATGCCAGAAGACAGCTTTCTGATGGCACTGGCATTGGACGATGGGCAAAGGTGATTATAGCGCGAACACTTGCTCATCAAAATCTGCTTTGTTTCACCAATATGTTGCCAGGGCAAAGTGGATACTTGCTTGTGCTTGTACAAACTTAGTCAGGAACAGGGATGCATTCATGTCTTTAAAGCACTGAGAATAGGTGAAAGCACAATGGAAAGAGTATTGTGAAACTCCACTACATGTACACCTGCCTGAAGATAAGACGGACCTGCAGACTAATTAATGAGGTAGAGTGACAGTCTGTGACTTTGTGAGTTGGTCGCAGGCTGTACTGGTTGCGAACTGCAGACTCTATAATAATCGCATGTGGACATGGTCGTAGGCAGCTTGAAATTGCAGAGGGGCAGCTGGGTGGGTCAGTTAGTACATACATATACTTGGAAGTACACAAATCTGCATCACTTTTTCACTTTTTTTCGATGCCAGGTTGCAACGCTAACGCCGAGACCTCTGGTCGGTCGAGTTGCTCCCTGTACACCGGCACGTCGTCACTACATCCCCTGTGTCTTGTTTTGTGTTTGTCTCCACATGTCTCTTTGTAGGGCTGTGTTCCCAATAAAAAAATAAAAAAATACTGCATACATGCCAGGAGTAAAAGCATGGTATTAAAGGACATGTTGGTCCATTGTCATTTGCACACAACACAACAATATGAATGAACCAGCACAACACTAGATATGAATGAACCAGCACAATACTCTTCTCTTTAGTATCTACTTGCACACAATGCAAAGGGGAAACAGGGGCTTCCAAGCCGAACCATGCATGGAACCGTGATGCTTTCGATTCGAAAAAGAGCTGCTGAACCGTTGAAAGGGAGGGATGGGGAGTGGCACATTGCCGCTTTACGTCCCTTTCACTGCAACCCTGAGTGCATTTGCTCAGGTTCTAAAGAGCCTAAGGGGCCATCCGTGATTATCGCAAATTTGCATGGTACAGAACAGTTTCGTTATGACTCCCTCCCGGTCTTCCCCGTGCATGTTTAGATTGCTGTGGTGCAGGGACTAAGCATGGTAACTGGGTGAGAAGAGCCTGGCTAGTGGGGCTTGTATGCAGCAGTCAGTTTCAATATTATCTTTACGGGATACACATTGGAATGGGGGCCATCTAATGCCTGGAAAAGAAGAGCTGGACGGGTAGCCAAAGCACATTGTTAGGGCAGAAATTTCGGGGACAGATCATGCACACGCATTGTGCATGGCAGAGAAGTTTTTTTTTCTCTTTGACATGCACAACACACTGAAAGTTTAAAATCGCAAGCCACGTGTATCAAGACAAACACCTCGCCATGGCTGACTTAACCTACCCATGGACTGGACTTTGGTTTATGGAAAATCAAGTCTCCAGACACATTATACCAGACACCTCTTAGAAAGAATGTTACCATAATGACAACACCGTCAACCGTTCGAAGAGCAACACATGCTGAGCTGCTCTTATTAATATTTTTACTTTGGTATCTCCCACAGGCCGCTTGCCTTCCTACTGGAGCCAGAAGGGATGTGCACGAAAGAATGTTGTTTTTGGTTCATCTAATTTTCAAGTCTAGCAGTTCTGCTGAAGTAATAATTTGAAGGAAAGCTCAATGATTCCTGCATGCACATTGTAATCCTCACAGGCATCTTGCTCTCATATAGTCTGTTAGATAATTGTGGTAAATAGCTTTGAGCGTAGTTGAAAGTTCTAAAATGGATACATTTCGTCAAAGTGGATTAAAATCATTCTCACTCAATGTGGTCTCAAGAAATCTTATAAGAACAGCTCAATTCAGTTTAGCCCTTGCCTGTTGTCGTTGACGGACTTGTGCTTCGTTGTCTGTGCCACAAATGTAGTCCCAGACGAACGAGACCTCGCCGTAGTTGGCCGTGACCTTCTCGTGGTGTACATTATGGTACCCGGATGAGTTGAGCAGCATGAGAGGGATGAGGCGCTCCATCCAGTCGAACGTCACGCCGCAGTGTAGGTAGAGGTTGACCAAGCTCAAGAACACGACCTGCGTGAAGTACAGCGGCATCCAGTGCTTTGCCGTTGGCACACACATAAACCAGATGGGAGCAAACGTCAGCACAGCATCCACGGGATGTATTGCAAACCCAGCAAACGCAGTCGGGTCACGGAACTGATGGTGGTTCTTATGGAAGGCAAACAGGACTCGTGTGTGCAGTATTCGGTGTTTCCAGTAGTTCCAGAAATCGGCAAACGCAAGGCCGAACACAAAGTGCCCGATCACTCCCATCCAACTAGTGGTCAGGTCGTGCATCTCCCATGTTATGCCCGTAGCATGTCCCAGTCTGTAGCGGCTTACAGGCCAGGCTGCGATGCAAGACACCGTGTAAAGACAACGCAGGGTTTCCAGTACCTCGCGGCCTATTGGCGCTGGCCGTTTGCGCTCACCCTGTATTCGCTTGCCGTGCCAGCAGCAGAACCAATGCAGTGCAGCCGACAGGACCATCGTGGGTACACTGATGGCCACGAACGTACCACACAGGCTGCTCAGAAAGACCCAGGGAGATTCAGTGAGCACACACACAGTTGTCATGGCCGCTGGTAGAAGCCAGGCGATGGCGTCCGCTGTGCGCAGCCACGTGGCTGTGCGGGGCAGCGATGCAACATACTGGTCCTCTTCCTCTTCTGCTCTACTATATTTTTCTGAAGCTACTTTCATTGTACATGTAGTTCCAACATTTGATTTTTCATCCGGTGGTGTTTTCTAAACAGCTCTAAAAGTTCCCAAATCCATTTCGCCAATGTACTCCTACAATAATTGTAGTCCTACTTTGGTTGCGCAAAATGGCACTGGACTCGTGGCACATACGAGGCTGCGGAGCGGCTAGCGGTTGTGTCTGGGTAGTGAAGTGCAGAAGACTATTTTCTGGAACGAAATGAAATCTAGAGAGTCTTTCTGACTGCGGAGACTGCATCTACTTGTGTTTTAACTTTTATTTCAATATTTTGTGTTCGTTTCGATTTTTCGCAGTTGGGCATGGCAGTACTGCCATGCCCAACGAACACAAAAATATTGAAATAAAACACAAGTAGATCTGTACGTAGCTCTACGCGGTCTACGTGTAGTGCTACATTCCGCATGTTCCGAGCCTGGACTGAAAAGCTACCATAAAAAAACCAAAAACCCCCCTACAGGCTACAATGACTATGTCATACTAGTACTAGTAGTAGTCATGGTAAATTTGGTACATTCGGTTTTTTTGATTTTTAGTAGCCACGCAACGGCTGCGCGCGCGTTTCCACTTGCACGTGGGATAAGACAACGCGAAATTAAAGGGGCACTCCGGCTTCATTTTCGACGACGATTTTTCGATGCCAAGACGAAGGTTGGTGAAAGAGAAGACGCCTCGAACAAGAACGAGTCTCCAGAAGCGATCGAGTCGAGCAGGAAGACGACTTTTGAATTTCGCCGAGCGAGCGCTGATGACGTAATGAGGGATTAGCTTGCCAGTGGAAATGCATCTGCGCACATACATTTCGCATACTTTTTGGCCAATTTTCAATCGAAGAGGAGGTTGTTTTCTATGTTCTCTCAACGTCGTGAGCGATCCCGTCTTCTATATCCTTCCAGGTACCCTGAAGGTCCTCCAGAGGAGAATTTATCTCCAGCAAAGCGTTGTTGATCCGCTAAATTCGTCTTGAGACATATTCACCCAGTGCAGTGCTGATAAATGTAGAATGTTGAATCTGTGATAATTGTCGACGATGGAGAGAGAGGTTGATAGCCGCTGTCGCAGGGAAAGTGAAGCTGCTGGAAGTAACAACGGGGAGTTTGTTAGCATCACATGAGCATCCAGACTTCAAAGCAGCTTGACGGAATCGGGGAGTACTGACTATTTGTCTCGCCCTCAGTTTAGTGAATCTTATGACCAGAAATTATTCGATCAGGATCCCTTCTACAAGATGTGTAGTGTAGTACAGGCGATTTCTGAACTTGACGATATGGAGACGGACCAGTAGACCTACCAACAACGTGTACCTGCAGGAAATTCACCCAAGGCTATTGCTATCCTCTTCAGTGGCTGTTGTTTTTTAGTAAAAATATGTTCACTTCTCTCAACATACTCCTGCATGGCAGCAAGAAGGTGCGTCATGGAATTCAACGCCACAATCTTCGCCCAGCTGTGGATGAAGCCGCATGATGGTCAAGTCATGGCAGTACACATACTTGAAACAGATGAGAAATTGAAGTTCATTTGTGATGGGAAGTTTGACAGCCCCAGTGACCGAGTCAAGCGTTGTCTTTTGCCATGGCACAAATTGCTGAAGAATCCGAGATGGTCTTGGAATTATGCACATGGATACTACCAGAAATAATGGTGGCATGAACCATTGTGGAATGGGACAGCTCACGGAGAATACTGGAATAGCCCAAGTATCTCTAGGTGATTGTAAATCCTGTTCTGGCTGATAGCTTCGGCCTGCTGCGCCCGTCCATGTACAATGATGGTAACATGCATTTCTGTTTTCTACATATTTGCTGGCTACTGTACTGTGGTATTACAGTTGCAGGTCCCTTATATATAGAAATATGTTCAACCCCCCCCCCCCCCTCCCACATTATAAATATGAACTAACAATTTCACTGTTGGACTCGCCGGCGGCTACAACATAATTATAGAGAGCAAAGGATTAATTTATAGCAAAGAAAAGGACCAGGGGACTACAAGTTCCGCTATAATGTCCACGAACAATTTAGCTGTATTTGAAATAATTTTGTTTGATACCCTGAGAACTCTGAAACTTTGCAGCACTGTGGATTATATGTGGATACAACATTTATGGAAGGAAAAGTGGAATATTCTAACACATTGTTCAAATAATTATAGCACTGTTGAGATTGTGAGCACATTCCAATCAGCACTCTACATATTCATAAGCGGTGGCAATCGTTAGGAATAGGTCATGAGTTGTCAGAGTGCTCTAGTATATGAGAGAATGTTTTGTTTGTCTAATCGACGGCTCGTTTGAAGCCAGAGTTGTTTGAACTTGTTTCAGTCGACTTGATTCTAGACCGTAGTCGAAGGAGTACTATGAAGTATACACCAGACGTAGTCCGAAAGGTATCTCGTGAGAATTCTGTCGGTACACATCAGGTATCAGCTTGCAAAGATGGCTCCTCTCTGTTTCTTGAAAGCCTGTATAGTTGGACTGTGGCTCCAGCGATTCCCTTCTCAGAGCAGATACCATACCCAATACGGTCAATGCATATTGGACAGACCTGTGTGCACAACAGAAATAGTGGAGAGAAATCTCTCAGCACATGAACACATCAGTGAAGTTTGAACTGCCGTTGTTTGTGGCCATCAGTATAAACCTATCGACTATAAGAATAATGTGCAAGAAAAACCTCGACCGTAAAATCCCGCCAGAGCGCCCCGTCTCTCCCATCCGCCCCTGCCTGACTTCTTGTCAGGGACGTGACTGATTGTATCCTCGTATAACTCTGTCGCAGTCTGTGATGCCGTACTGCACTGTAGACGTGTGCTCGACCCCGTTGGAAATGTACGCAACAGTGCCCACCCTCCTGACCAGGGATTGCACAAACCCTGCGTTTTGTCGGATCTGTTCGACTCCTGGCTCTTGACCTTTGGTCGGTGTACGAGATGCACGAACAGTTTTCGTAGGGTGAGTACTTTTTCATGTAGCACTGAATGCGGCAAGTAGGACTCGCCCATCCGCCCCTCCCCACCTGAAGCGTTGAGAAGGTAGGGGCGCTCTGGCGGGATTTTACGGTATAACTACAGCTGGGGCCATGGAATTATAAAGCATCTAACTTAGGGAACTGCCGATTCTGGTCTGAGTTGCGTTCGAGGCCTGCAATTCATGATGGCTATCGTATGTTGCATTGACCAGAGATCATATAAAACTTCCAAAATGCCACATTGAAACACGCACCACTTTCGAGTACTTTGGTATCCCCCACCAAATGGGCATTCGTTCCCGGGGTGGCAGGCGTCACCATTCGTTATGCCTGGATCAGATTTCATTGACCCCAACTGTCATGAAGAATCATTTTTACTTTGACTGGATTTCAGTACAAGTTGTAGAACTGCAGAATCAATTTTGTTGTATTTGGGCAACCATTTCTCTACAAACGCTCTATTCGGAAACTTATGATAGAATATTTTTATAAAATACATGTCCAAATTCCACATCTACCCAAATCGGAATACTTGATCACGTATTCAGTACTAAACGGAATGTTTAGAAACCGCCAGGGAATAGGAATGTGCTAACGAGAACTCCAGGCCAGGGTACTAGCATACGAACAAAACAAGATAAAAACTCACCAGTATACTTGTAGTAATTCATGTCGGTGTAATATTCACGATAAGGAACGAGGCACCCTCCGATTTGGTCAAGCTGCTTTGAAGTCTGGTTGTTCAGATGATACAAACGGGCTCCCCATTGTTACTTCCAGCAGCTTCACTCTCCCTGCGACAGCGGCTATCAGCCTCTCTCTCTCCATCGTCGACAATTACCACAGATTCAACATTCTACATTATCAGCACTGAATATGTCTCGAGACGAATTTAGCGGATCAACAACGCTTTGCTGGAGATAAATTCTCGTCTGGAGGACCTTCAGGGTACCTGGAAGGGTATAGAAGACGGGATCGCTCACGACGTTGGAAGAACATAGCAAACAACCTCCTCTTCGATTGAAAATTGGCCAAAAAGTGTGTAAAATGTATGTGCGCAGGTGCATTTCCACTGGCAAGCTAATCCCTCATTACGTCATCAGCGCTCGCTCGGCGAAATTCAAAAGTCGTCTTCCTGCTCGACTCGATCGCTTCTGGAGACTCGTTCTTGTTCGAGGGGTCTTCTCTTTCACCTACCTTCGTCTTGGCATCGAAAACTCGGCGTCGAAAATGAAGCCGGAGTGCCCCTTTAAATGGAGCCGGCCGGAGCACGGAACGTCGGAAGACTGCGAAAATCTCGTCCGTCGGAGCAAGCAGAGTCGAGACTTGTTCAAGTTGTTGTCCGTAGAGTTCCCACTGGTTGTTTCTGGGTGAAGTGCACACATGTCGCTTCACGCTAGCCGCAGAGTTCGTCAGTGCAGTAATGCTCACGGAGCCGCATTGGACACCGCGTTTATGGCTGTGTACAAAGAAGGCAAGGCGGACGATGGGTTGCAACTCCGCGGTCGGACGGCGTCCCGCAGGGTAAGTCGTTGCGTCCGAGCTTCGCCGCTCGTGTCGAATTTGGAGTACTAGTAGCAGTTTGCAATTTCCGTGGTCTTGGAGTGTTCGGTGGTGTCTAGGTGGCTATCCGTCTCAAGGCGAGTGCCACAAATGATGTAGCGCCTAACGTGAGTTTGAGGCAAAGGACAGAACGCGAAGGAAGGGTCGGTAAGTAATGGTGTTGTAAAGGTAACGGTTTGGCGTAATTCCGTTGGCAGCAGGTCCACTGTATCAGCGACTTCCTCTGACCTACATGTAGCTCTTTGTCACAAATGCTGTGTCCTTTCGTTTGTCTCTTGTTTGCATCCGGTCCACCGCAGGTTCTTACAAGAGAACTTCCTCAGTCACCTATCAACTGGCACATTTTCGGTGGTTGGAAGTCGACTGAGCGTCTTGTAAGTTTGTACCTGCGATTATTGATAGTCGGCGTCGAAACTTGGGTGGTATTTTGGGAGGACCTGTAGCCGCCTACTGTAAAAGCAGAAATTTTCGGTGGTGTTATATTTTCGGTAACTTCGGTGCCGACAATTTTTACCGAAAATATAACGCACCTAAAATTTCGGTACAACCGATACTGTATACATGTAGTACTAGCACACTTACCTGGAGAACGGGTTTTACCGAAAATTTCCCTCTACTGAACCGCCGATTTTGGAGTATACCGAAAATATTACACCACCGAAAATTTCTGCTTTACAGTATTTTCACTTCTACTCTGCCAAGCTGAGTCCACACTAGATATATTTCGCACTTTTCCATGAAACAAGTAAAAGACGAGTCCTCCCGCCGATATTAGAGAGGTTAAGATGCACGCTATTTCTGACGTGACGCGAAAGTTCAGCTCGCGTTATTTGGCTCTCGCGTCCGAAAACAACGCGAGTGACCTGCAGCTCGCGTCGAAATTTGGAGTTTTACGCCCAGTTTGACGTGAAATTGCGCGTCACGTCGGAAATAACGTGCATCTTAACCTCTCTATTGAGCCATACACTCGTAAAAAGATGCTTTCTAAAAAGAGCTCAAGGGGGGGGGGGAGGGGGGCAATGGGTTACGTAGCTGTTTTCCCTGCCCCCCCCCCCCCACTATTTTTGACCTGGCTAGAACTCTGATTTAACGCATGGTCTCTGGTTCGTGTGAAAATCCGAAAGTCTCAAGGTATTTATGCCACTACGTATAATCAATCTCACCCGAGTGTGCAAGATTAAACTCGGACACTGGGCCGCTGGTTACTATTGAAAGAAGAAGGGACAATTGGATGTGAGTTATGAGTATGTGTCCAGCACCGAAACTAGACGGTATTCAGTCAGAAAGTGTGACAACTAGGCACCAAAAAAACTTACAGAGTACTGAGACATTCAACGACCCTACACCTGCATGTACATGTATCTCCACAACATACCCCATACCTAGACCAACACAAGCTTGTGCAAACCAACGACCTCCCAACTTCTGCACGAAACTTTCAATTTGGGATTATGAGTAACTGTCTAGCACTGTAACTAGGTACTATGCAGTCATGACGTGTGATAACTACGCACACAACTGACAGAGTGCGGAGGCGTTCAATGACCTGACGCCTACATGTAGCTCCAGCACATCTCCAATGCGCAAACCAACAGCTTTCCCCGGAAACGTCCAGGTTGGAAGGCTAATAGTTTGCGCACTGGCGAAGTGCTGGAGCTAGGTGTCAGGCTGTTGAACGTTTCAGTACTCTGCAAAATTGCTACCTAGTTGTCGCACTATCTGCCAGGCTGTATATTATCTAGTCACAGGGGTGGCCAGTTACTCTTATCCAATTGATCCTTTTTCTTTCTATAATTTAGGATGTTAATGCGTGTCAATATTCTCAAGCATAATCTCAAGCATAATCGTGAGCTTTCTGCAATGAGATCTACCTGAGGCAAAACTTGCTAATGAATGTGATAGTCGTTCGACTGTGTCGATGATGCAGTTTGGGGTATCCACCAGACCAGGGTGACCCAACTGGAAATGACACCGTCTGTACTGGCTGGCAATGGTCCTGGAGTTGACTGAATAAGAATGGCCGCGATGATCTGGCTTACCGTCTCATATTATTCACTACCCTTGACTGAAGGGTTAGACCCATAAAACTGTTGGTCTGTTGGCCATGTGTTGAATTTTTGGTCTCATCATCTTGCAGGTCCTTGAAGAAGAATCGCCTGGAGCTCATCGACCACTCCATACTCTCAGGATTGCCAGTACTGGAGGAACTGTAAGTGCTGAGAATTGTGACAGCACAATGTACAATCATGTTCCTTGGATTGCCTTGTGTTAGGCCAGCGAGTGTGCTGGAGAAATTGAGGGTTGTGATGTTTCGGCTCAATTTGGTAAATACTTTATACCGAACTGAGTAGCAGTGTAGGTGCTGATCACCAACATCTATGACATTGAATTCTCTTCTCTTCGCTCTGCTTTGCTTCTTGAATCACAACGCCTCGTACATAAAGGCGAACCCTGGAAAAGTCGAGTACCAGGTGTCAGCAACCGAATAATGCGGCTTGGATAACAGTTATGCCATAGCCCAGTGGTTAGAGCCACCGGGAAAGAGCACACTCTTCAGGTTCTTCACGTACAACATTTTGAAAACGTTTCACTGGTTAACCTCCGTACCTTCTCTTCTTCTCTTGCCCATTTTGTCTCCGAGGAAACTGTCTAAGTAGTCGTCAGGATTTACCAGCATGCCTAAGCGGACAGTTCTAACTGGTAGTGTCTGTGAGCCTTACAATAGAGCCCGGCCCGGCCCTGCTCATTCTCAATGCGTTGTACACTGTGTGTTTACCACATTCTCCCCTGCTGTTCCCAGTGATCTATCATGCCAGCAAGCCGGTCCTCTACGCATCCAGCCATCAGCATTCAACGGGCTGACTGGCCTCAAGAAATTGTGAGAATGGTGCTCGGTTGTGCGCCTTTGCACTATGCATGCATACAGTGTAGTAGATTGATAACCTGAATACTCTCTTACAGTGGGTAACCGTAATACCCTATGCCCAGTTGTGAACCTTTGCACTATACGTGCATGCACTGTAGAATGATGACCTGTATCATTTTTCTTATAGTGGGTAGTACCCACTGCAGTCTTTCTGTCACAAAGGAGAGAGAACAGTTTCTCCGCTGCTGCTATGATTTTGGTATTTGCACTTTTAGTTGTAGCCTCTTACCCCGCTGATATGCACAGGAATGTTCCAAGGTTTAGCCTCCTTGAGGTCCCTCGCCAGCATTGACAAAGATACATGTACTGTTTCGCCTGATAGTAGATCGTCGTCCTATGCCACCAAGTCGAACTCGGTGCAGTCTCTGCAGCAAGTGTTTATGAGTATCGTACAACCCCCCTTCCCCCTCTCCCACAGTTAGCAATGGCTCAACTAGGTAGCTGCCAATGGCAATGATGGTAGATCGTTGTGCTTTTTTACAATCTCCTCTAACCGTATACGATGTAGATTGCTTGGCTCGAACCAAATATCTGCTATTCCGACACCGGATTTCATCATCAGCAACTTGAACAGCATCCAGGAATTGTAAGCAAGTATATTAGTAGTGTGTGTGTGGCAATTCGAATAGGGCAATGTAGGAGAGGTAAATTGCCAGATTGAAAAAAAGGAAGTACGAATGGGTGGCAGTTGACGGAAGCAAATGGCAAGTAATTCCGTACTAAGAGTACCTTGACCTTAAGTGGTGTTGCCTGCACAAGACTCAGAAAGAAAACCACCAAAACAGAATCCGCCTGCATTGTCTTATCCGGGTAGTTCGAGACCTGGCACTGCCCATAACTTTACCCATATCTCTGATGATTGTGAGAGCATGAAACTTGAAGTAGCAGCAAACAAGCCTTGATTGTCCTTGTTGTTCTGTATCTCTGATCATTTAATACGTTTTAATGAGGGAAGGCCAGAGATTGGCACATGACACCACTATTTCGACAAAATTTGGAATGAGTAGTAATATTTCCACTGAAACTCAACCATAAGGTACTTGGTAGACGAAGGTCTGGATAAGAGAAGTACATGTATGAGTGTATTCAGCAACAGTCGTCTGCATTAGTAGTGCTCGGATTGAATGCTGAACTCATAGTCCTGAACTTAATGAATATAGCATTTGCACGCTCCCTTAAACAGATCCTCCATCATTATAACGAGTCCGGTTAGTACATAAACCCTGTTAGAAAATAGATATCTGAAAGTCCGGTTACAAGATAAGTCTCGTTATAAGATTCTTTTTTGTTAGCCCAGGGACTATCTAAAAAAGAAGGAGGACCTGTATCTTGTTTTTTTTCTCTGCAATGACTCTACCTAGTCCTCTCTTTAGATATTCGTTGGTAAACCATGTTTCCCCGGTAACTTATTCAAAGAAGAATGTAAACTATTTCTGTACTTGTGATTTACCGTCACCACACTTCTGCACAGAGATCTCTCAGACAATGCAATAACGTCGGTTGGTGATGGTGTTTTTACTGGACTACGCACTCTGCAACGACTGTAAGGCCTTTGCCTGCTTGGATTTGTCTCCATAGCCTATTGTAGGGGGGTTAGGGGGTTATGGGGTAGGGAAGGGAGTAAATGAAGACTTACTTGCTGATGAAGTTTTGGGTGGGAATGTGCTGTATTGATATGATAACATGTAGGGCGAATCCTGAATCCTGTGCGGTTGTGTGTGTGTGCGTGTGTGTGCGCGCGTGTGTGTGTGTGTGTGTGTGTGACTGTGTGTGTGTATGTGTGTGTGTGTGTGTCCCATATGGTGCAGTGGTATGTGCGGTCGATTTCCAATCGAGAGGTTGCGGGTTCAATTCCCGACAATTATGGTCACACACGTCTTTCTTCTCTTTCTCAGTCTCCTAGCTCTTCTTTCATTCTCCTGGGTGGTTACCAACAGCCAGTGCATGCCGGAGTATGTGGTGTGGTGTGTGTGTGTCAAAAAATATGAAGAAAGAATTGGAAATGAAAAAGAATGAAAAATAGGCATTCACTGGCCAGAAAAAAAGCTGCTTCTATCAGACGTGTGGTGGATACCAGGCTAAAATTAGTGGCGGTCAATTCATCAGCCTTGCAAGCTGTTGAATGGTGTAATCCCAGCACAAGTTGCTATGTCTAACATAGCTGTTCGCTATTATCGCTTCCGCTATGGGCAGGTCTGAGGTCTGAGGTGTGTGTGTGTGTGTATGTGTGTTCTGTGCCCTTCCAGCAACCTGAGTGGTAACTCGTTTTCCTCTCTGAATGAGTTTTCCTTCAGCGGACTGTCTAACCTCATAGAGCTGTAAGTTGTGCATGTCTGTCTGCATGTGGCCTGTAAGAGCTCGGCATTTCTCCTCATATTCTTTAATAGTACCATGCTTGCGGTGCTAACCCAATTCTTGGACTTTTTTGATTGGGAAAACTCATGTTACAGAGGTCACCTGAAATAAGAACTAAGCCGGAGACTAGACTTGGGTGGAGACAGTTGTCATATGTATGCCACTTTCGTTTTCTTTGGAGAGGTTGTCAGGAGAGTTCAATGATCATCGCTGTCGCTGGAAAGTCTGTTCTAAGTCTGTTCATTTTCTCTAACTTCACCTTGTGCAGCCTATTCTGTCTGTGGAGTTACTGACATGCATGCTGTCTCCTTTGTGTTGCGTGCAGGAGTGTCTCCGACACTGGCATATCTGTGATTGACAGCAGTGTATTGGGTCGGTTGCCGGCTTTACAAAAACTGTGAGTGAAAGCAGCTACCTGCATGTAGATTTCTGATTCAAACTCCTGAGGACTAGCATCGTTGCCAGAATGTTGGGTGTGCGTTCCACCTGTGACACTTGCGGTGCAATACCTAGCTGAACATTGCAAACTTATCTGTTGCATATACTTCACATCATTGTGTCCAAGGTCTAGTTTTGCTGCAGGTCCCAATCTGTTGGGAGGCAACGTCATTGGCGCCTTTCCCAGGGTGAGGTATGATCACGTTTAGGCTCTCAGGAACGATGCCTGTGTGCATTTGTGTGTTCTTACGTTCAGGGAAGCAAGTAATAATCTTCTCTCAGATGTGCCCGAGGATGGCTTGAAGGAAGTCCTCCTTCTCCAGACACTGTAAGGGCAATTAATGTTTTCTTGTTTCTGGCAAAACAGCAGGGAGGGTGATATGCTGGATATTCAATTCTTTGCTGCTAGCAGTCCTGGAGATGTCCTAGATAGGACATCACGGAACCCAGCATGCCCCAGCATACATACTATGCTGTTCCCATAGTAATCGTGACACGTGACTCAAAACTTTGTGTCGCGGCCGAGGAAGATGAACATGTCGCACTCTAAACAAGCGCAACGAAGGCCTTTCGTCTCAAAAGCTGTTGTCGTTCTGCTGGCGGCTTGCCTCAAGCGAGTCGAGATTCGTATCTTGCCTCTTGCCTTCACGAATTTTTTTCCTCGTTGTGGAGTACGCCTGGACAAAGGAACTGGCAAGCGAATCGTTTTGGTCGCATTGAAAATTGCAAGTGCACAAGAGGATTGCCGAAGCAATTTGTGTTCGCACTTTCAGCAGAGCAGTAGCTGCTGCTGCGATAAAGTTTTTACTTTCGCCATTGGTTTCAGGCAGCAGAAGGATCTGGCTGAAAGCGATGGCGATACGTCCATGACCACCACGTCCTGGGTTGATATCCAAGAAAGACCGTCCAAGGTCCAGTTTTAGCCAAGAGCTGTCGTATCCAAGAAATCAAAAACGCCAACAGCAAGCTTTGGCCATATAATATCTTCCAGGTAGTGATTTACGGGCCTAGCGCCTGCTGCCTCGTCTTCCTCCTCTGCATGGCCAGGTTTGGGGCGAAATGAACGCACGGGGCGTGAAGAAACATTCCAAAGGCAAAACATTCAAATAATTAGAACCAATCGTTTCCGAAGAAGCGCCGCGTGGCTACGAGAAACCCCACATGAAATCCCCACACGAAAACGGCCATTCGGTCGGGTGTTCGATGGCGAATCGAATATACACTACCTCAATCCCCGCTGATGTCTGATATTCTCCGCCTATTCCTTCAAACTTGACCAATTCGGAAAGAAATCCATCGCCATTACGATCGTGCATCCTCCACATACATTCAGAAATGCTCACGCAGCACTTCTTTTCATCGCGTGTGCGCGAGCGACGCTTCCATGACAACTCTGGGACAGGTAACCAATCAGACTCATTCAGAGTGCGATGTCCTAGATAGGACATCTCCCCGACTGGTACACACTGGAAGGAATAATAGTGCAAGCATATGGGAGGGTTGGCGCTGGTAGAACTCACAGGCATGGCTTGGCGCAGGGTGACTGAGACGGGGAGGGGGGTGTCATATGAACTGTGAACATGCAATCAGACCCTGCTGTGTACTCCTGTTCACCTGGCATGGAATGATGTGAAGACTCCAATGCAGCATCATTTAAAGAGAACGGGTGGTTAACGCACCTGGTTTAGTAACGGGAAATACATACCGGCCCACACAACGCTTCTTACTCCTTCATTCACCTGGCATGGTTTCTCATCACAACTCCTAGGATGTCATTTTGAACCATTATTTGAAGAATTAAGAGGGCTCGACTGGACCTCCACTCATCCCTGTTGTGGCTGGTTGACTGTTGCGCATGTATTTCTGTGTTTCTGTATTTCTGTGTTTCTGTATTCTGATTTGCGTTTGCACTGAGGCCATGATTGTAAGCAGTGTGGTATGCAGCCCGATCTCTCTCTCTCTCTCTCTCTCTCTCTCTCTCTCTCTCTCTCTCTCTCTCTCTCTCTCTCTCTCTCTCTCTCTCTCTCTCTCTCTCTCTCTCTCTCTCTCTCTCTCTTTCTCTCTTTCTCTCTTCTCTCTCTCTCTCTCTCTCTCTCTCTCTCTCTCTCTCTCTCTCTCTCTCTCTCTCTCTCTCTTTTTTTTCATTTTTTTTCATGTCTTACTGCAGAGACTTGAGCTGGAACAACATCTCTGCAGTCAACGCTACTGCTCTTCAGCTGAGCGTCAACCTGACCACACTGTAAGTACAGCCACTGCTACTGTCAGACCAGATCTTTTAACGTTAATCAAAGTTAGTGATCTCCGAATTTTTGTGGGTTAGCAAGGTGTCTCAAAACCGGCAAATGACTGTACATGTACATTATCGTTTTGCACATAACGACTTCAAAGGTTAACGATTCTTTTAATTCGTTAAATCGTTAGAATTAAATGTTCGTTAACATTGCTGATCATACATTATAAGAGTGTGGTGTTGTACTTAAACCTGTTCACTGCACAGGTATACCTCTATACAGGTAATGATCACACGTGATGTTTTGAATTTCTTTCTGTGCAGGAACCTGACAGACAATGTGATCACGCGAATCAACAGTCTTGCGTTCGGCAACACCACCATCCAGACATTGTACGTAGCTATAAGTTGGTCTCCTGATTATTTCAAGAAGCCTGAAAATCTGAATAAATACAGTTTTTGAAAGACAAATACGAAGTGTATCCAATTTCAAAAAGCAGTGTATGCATCGACACAATCCACGCCAGTCTTGTAGAACCACAGTTTCAGAACCGAACGTTTCCGTTCCATTCTCTCCAAAGGCTGATACAGGAGCATGGGGGAAAAATAAAGTGATGTCATACCGAAGCTGGTGAATTGTCCCGTCGCATTCCTTGTCCAAGGGTAGCTCCTCCATTGTCCTATTTGAGCTGTCATTAGCTTTCGAGGAGGTCTTCCTTGTTTGTTTCCTCCTTTCTTGCTTGTCACCTTCAGTACCCTGTCCTGTTCATTGTTTTCAGTTTGCATCTTTAATCGACCCGAGTGACCTTTCCGTTCTGCGTCGACTTCGTTGTCGTCCTTGGTGTTGCTCCAAGAGGCCTGCTACACTGGGGTAAAGCCTTCTCATGGGATGTATAGACTGATTGAAGTTGACTTCCAATATATAGTCTTGTCCAGTGATTTGACCAAGAGGTTGGTGCGACTTCGGCGATACTTGGGGAATTTTCTGTTGCTCCCTACATGGGAGCTCGCAGTTTTCCTGCCGACTTGAATTCTCAATTGTCCAGTGATTGCATGTTATTTTGTGTGATGCTAAAAAAGGATAACTTGCCATTTCTGTTCCTCGGCTGGTGTAAACCTTAGTGCAGAATGAAGTTTGTTTAACACAGGTAACAGCAGCTTGCAAGTCTCTTCCTCTCCATCATGGCAGTGAACATCATCCACTAACCTGCAGTACATGGGTGGATACAAGGAAGAGGGGATAGACGGTTTTAAATCCAGAATCCAACAAACACATCAGCCATGCCGGAGCCTAGAGGAGAGCCCATAGCTACGCCGTCTACTGGCATACCACATCAGATGAGCACATGTGTCTACTGGCGTACCACATCAGATGAGCACATGTGTCCATTTGGCTTGAACTCGGATCCCTTCAGTTATCTCCATATTAAACGGTTCCCCGTCATGCAGTGGGCATTTTACAGGTCCAACACCGACTGAAGTAGGACACACAGCCTTAAAGAGGTCAGCCCGACATACTCGGTATCGGGCGCAATGGAATGTTCTTCCTGTGTACCCGCTTAGGAAGCCCATACATCCTGGGTGCAGGGACCCCACATGGTCGTGAAGTGTTCATATTCGTACTCCGAAATTTGGCTCTCTCGCCAAACGCGTAGCAGATATGCTCTCGGTATCAATGTTCTCTGTGTTGGCATATACTGTACACGGACCTTGAGCATCATTTTGGGAAGATAATCCATCCTGGGTATGATAACAGTAGCTCTTCTCTTGTCTGGTAATTATATTACTATACCAGGCAGGGTTCTTGGAATGTTCCTTTATGGCCTGATGTGTACGAGTGGACGGAGGTGATTGTGCAGACTTGTATGCTTCAGCAGCTAGCGAAGCACTGCTTGTAACTTGTTAGCTGCTGCCTCATCCCCATCCGATTTTGCAGGAATAGGGGATAGGTTCTGCTGAAGAAGCTTGAATTCAGCCAAGGTGTCTAAACGGTTAAGCCGTGGAATGACTGAAGTGTCCTTTGTAGCCTAGCACTAGTTATCGTGAGATGATGTTTTTCCCAGTTTTAGCTCACGGCAGATCTGTGTGCACATCTGGCTGTTTTAGAAGTGTTTTTATATTCGTAAGTCTATATTCACCAAGTTGTCCCCAAGCCATGCGTTCAGAAGGTGTCCGCTCTGGGATTTCAAATCAACCAGGTACACGTGTACCTAGCGTAACTATTCCACACTCGCTAGAGGCGGGCACGCGTGCACCTGGCCCGCCACCAGGTTAAGAAAACAGAAGTCTCTGGCGCGTTCGAGTGCGGCGTACTTGTGTGTCAGTGTCAGGGATGTCACTCCTTGTTGATGCGTTTCAACCTGTTTTAGTCCTGCTTGCCATTGTGTGCTTTTCTGGGCTCTGAATAACAGCTTTTCACTCTTGTAGCGTGATGCTGCAGCCCTTACCCCATTTCATAATTTGGTTTCTGTTTTTGAATTTCTCCCATACTGCAAAACGGCGAGATTTTAGCGTAACTGGTATTCTGAATTAGGACCAAATCGCAATGAAATTTTTTAGCGATCCAAGTTTCACGGTTCAATAAGGAAGATGACCAGTACTCTATGTACTGTACATACAAATGTTCGATTGGCGCAGCTAAACTTTAGCGAAAACACTCCTTTCGCTAAATTTGCAACATGGAAAATTTGTGGGCACAAGTTATGCGATCGAGTCCACCAACTAAACCAGATTTTGAACAGATTTTTCTTGGCTCATCATCTGAATCGCTAAAAATAACCGGTGCTAAAATTAGCTGTTAACAATATTCACTAAATTAACCTAACGAAAACATTTGGCTCTGAAACTGCGGTTCTAGAAGACCGATGTGGATTGGATACACTGCTTTCGAAAGACGGATATCTTCCAATGGACCGTATATGTGTACGTTGCAATGAATATGCTGTCTCTTGGCATTGGATACCGCTCACAGATACTGTCATATTGTGTCCATATGACCTCCCATTGTGCTTATTGTGTGGACAACTCATAAATTACAAGATCTATTCCTGAATTTGTTGGAGTCATTCTAGCTACTCTTTGGGTTTTCCTCGGCAGTGCACCAAACAACTGCAGACCTGATGTGGAATCTGCCACTCTGAAATAAGCCCGGGCGCGCTGGCCATTGTTGCTATTGCGAGTGAAGTCTATCCTGTGTCTGTCCTCTTGAACAATTCACAGGCTGCTCAGTGACAACATGATATCCGAAGTGCCTGCTGCTGCACTTGGCTGGATCTCCGCAACGTTGAGAATACTGTAAGACAATATCCCCTGAGGCATTGAATACAATTTGCTTGATACTTGCTGACTGTTGTCAGTCTTTTCGGACTGTAGGCCTTCATTGTCTTGTTGACACATACTGCTTGTTGCTGCAAGTCAATGGTACTGGCTAAGGGTGCTATGTTGTGAACTAGTTTCAATCTCCTGCTTGGCTCAGTTTTCTGTATCCATCGGCACCCCGAATTGAATCTGCCCATGGACGATGCTTGGAGTACATCTGCTTGTGAAGGATTGTGCTGAAGCATACTTAATTATTAATTATAATTAATAAATAATTCTCATCGTGTGGATTGGACCACTCCTGTGTTGCAGGTCTCTGTCGTCAAACTCTCTGACCTCTCTGGCGGAGAGCAACTTCTCTGGTCTCGCCCTTCTTGGCAGCTTGTAAGTAGACAGAATATAAGTCGCATTCGATAATATGTCGCACCCTCATTTTCTGTTATTAGCCATATTGATTAGATATATTGACTTCAGTAGTAAGTCTTGCTCGATTGTAAGTCGCACCCCTTTTTACCCTTGGAATTTAGAGTACTACAAAGGTGCGACTTATATTCGGGGAAATACGGTATATCTTATATTCGGGGAAATACGGTATATCTTATATTCGGGGAAATACGGTATATCTTATATTCGGGGAAATACGGTATATCTTATATTCGGGGAAATACGGTATATCTTATATTCGGGGAAATACGGTATATCTTATATTTCTCTGCCAACACATACATGTACAGTGCTGCTCAATGAAATCCAGTCGAGTCACTCAAGTACAGGCCGGGCGTTGCGCAGCCATAGACCTATAAACAATGGGCTGCGGAATGGTGCAGGGTGCAAACTTGACGCACGTGACTGGATTTCATTGAGCAGCACTGTATGTACAATGAGCGTTAGCATGCTAACGCGAGTTAGCAGCCAGCCCAGCGAGCTGGCCCAACCTGCACGCATGCGCGAGTCACGTGGGCACGCGCCCTTCAAAATCCTGTACAATGTCTCTTTCATGTCATTGCTGTTTGGACTTTCGAGCATGCATCAAATGACACCGCTTGGAGCAGGCGAATGACTCCGCATGGAGCCGGCAAATGACTCCGCATGGAGCCGGCAAATGACTCCGCATGGAGCCGGCAAATGACTCCGCATGGAGCAGGCGAATGACTCCGCATGGAGCCGGCAAATGACTCCGCATGGAGCCAGCGAATGACTCCGCATGGAGCCGCCGAATGACTCCGCATGGAGCCGCCGAATGACTCCGCATGGAGCCGCCGAATTACTCCGCATGGAGCTGCCAATTACTCCGCATGGAGCCGCCGAATGACTCCGCATGGAGCCGCCAATGCCTCCGCATGGAGCCGCCAATGACTCTGAATAGAGCCGCCAAATGCTAGATATATAGAGATGCATAACCAGTTGAGAGCATATATTCTCATGGACTATACAGCTACCGTCATGTGTGCGCCAGAAACATGAGTTGAGCTAGTGGGTGGGAGGGTGGGAAGGAAATTGTTTGGGAACACCTGTTCCGCAAGTTGCACGCTCGAAAGTCCAAACAGCAATGACATGCAAGAGACATTGTACAGGATTTTGAAGGGCGCGTGCCCACGTGACTCGCGCATGCGTGCAGGTTGGGCCAGCTCGCTGGGCTGGCTGCTAACTCGCGTTTTTTATTTTTTTATTTTTTACTATTGAACACTTACTGCATGATGAACTAAAATGAAGAGAAAAACTCGACACAATGGTACATATCCAGCAGGACGGAGTGGGTGGGACCTGTGAAGCTCAGCCGACCAAGGGTCTCGGCATCACAGCTGCACATGTGCACCAAAAGTTAGCATGCTAACGCTCATTAAGCATCCCCCCACCTCACAACAGAGCAACCGAGTTTTGCATTAAGCTGGGAGTGCCGATTCGAGCAACTGGTATAATGGCTCTGCTTGGAGCCGCTAGTTGGCTCGCAGCTGAGCCAGCAAATGACACTGCTTGGAGCAGGTGAATGACTCCGCATGGAGCCGGCAAATGACTCCGCATGGAGCCGGCAAATGACTCCCCATGGAGCCGGCAAATGACTCCGCATGGAGCCGCCGAATTACTCCGCATGGAGCTGTCAATTACTCCGCATGGAGCCGCCGAATGACTCCGCATGGAGCCGCCAATGCCTCCGCATGGAGCCGCCAATGACTCTGAATAGAGCCGCTAAATGCTAGATATATAGAGATGCATAACCAGTTGAGAGCATATATGAGCCGCAATCAGCGAAAACGACCCTTAGAGGTTTCGTAATTTTTTCAAGAAAAATGTCGATTTGTGACGTTCAACGATTTTTGATCGCGCTGCGAACAGCGCGACGAGTTCTTCTTGATTTCCTTGCTTGAATTTATTTGAAGTTAGTTGAAGTGGTGTCGAGTGGCGACTCGAGTGTTCCTTGATCTTGTTGCGATGGCCGCGGACGCCAGAGCTGTTCGCAGAGCACACGCGGCAGTAATTGTGTACAGCTAGCTCGAGCCTGGTGGGGAGTGGATGCTGAAGTAGCCGCTGAAGTTCAGAGTGAGGATGAGACGTTCTTTGGTTCCGACATCGACATCGATGTCGACAGCGAGGCGGAATCGCAGCCGTCATCTCCTGCTGCGTTGCGGCTCAAGGTGGTCGATGACTCGTCAGAGTCGGAAGATGAGAAATCATCACCTGAGATAAATTCTGAGTCTGGGGCTAGTGACGGCAGCGACGTCGTGTCGTCAGCTGCGCAGGAAGAAATGGAAGACATTGCGGAACGACTCCACGCAGGATGCAGCTGCAAATAAGTGGATCATGTCTCCGCACTCGTCCGCTATTCTTTGTCATTCTAGCTGCTTACTGCGCTATTTCAAAGGTATTCAAGCTGCCTACCCACCTAAAAATGCTGAATATTTATTGTACACATATATCGTATACATACACTGCACCAATTTGGAGTACATCCTGTATATTGGTGTATACACCCGTTTTGAATCGGAATATTGAACTTTTTCTTGGCTGAGGTCCTTCAGTAGATGTGTTTCAACAAATTTCTAACCAAAAAGGACTTTTGAAAAATTTGACCCTAAGGGCTGTTTTCGTTGGTTGAGGCCCATATTCCATAAATCGGCACTCCCAGAGCGGATCACAAAGTGCAGGTACCTGTGAAATTTGTAAGCAGTGCAAGCTCGGTAACGATTGACTAACAGAACTCGATATCATGGGCTGAGGCCATTGCCACAGCCAACCATGCTTTGGCTGCTGGTGGCCTCTGAATGTTACTCGGGCAGACGTGGTTTCCACCTTCCCGCCTCTCTGAATATCGAGTCCGGCAGCTGATTCGAAACGAGTGGCCGGTGTATAACGCCAGGCCATAGCCACAACTGATGAGCAAGATTTTCGCAGTTGCTGTAAAGCCGATCGATTGGCATCTGCAGCTGGTGCCGCTAGCTTTCCCAGGTGCTGCCACAATTGCAAACCACTCTTTGCGATTGGCTGGTCTGCTTGATTGACTGTCCATTGCCCTATCCCCGGTCGCAATTGTTTGCGCACCAGCCAAGTGCACCACTTGCCTCAGTGAATAGCAGCAAGTTGGGGGATGGCGTCCACTTAGGGTGTAGGAAGAAGGACCGGCCGTTCTACTATTCCAGGAGCTCAGGCCATCAGCGAAGATATTTGAGGCACTCTTCGGAGAGCTTGATCAGGTAATACGGCTGCCGGTACCAGTTGGCAAGTGACCACAATCTGCAATGTGCGTCCTGGGACTATCCCTCTTGTAGCAAACGAGAGCTTTCCCAGAAGATACTCGTGTTGACATTGGGTAGTTGAAGCTGTGTTGAGAGTGGCCTGTAGGTCGTGAAGATTGGCAAGTTCGTCCATCGGCAGACTGATGTGAGCGCGCGGGTGTCCAGGATGACGCCGATAAACGTCAGGACGTGGGCTGGACCCTCCACTTTTGCTGACGCCAGAGAAACACCGAGGTATGTAAACGCGCGGCGACGAGTAGCGAGTTGCAGGCGAGCTAACACAGGTCCAGAGCATACATCGAGGAAGCACTTTTGCTGACGCCAGAGAAACACCGAGGTATGTAAACGCATGGCGCCGAGTAGCGAGTTGCTGGCGAGCTAACACAAGTCCAGAGCATGCATGGAGACAGAAACGTTAGTCGAGGTATTTTCCGTAATGGGAAGATGCCAATAACGTCAGGACTTGAGCTGGACCCTCCACTTTTGCTGGGGCCAGAGAAACACCGGGGTATGTAAACGCTCGGAGCAGAATAGCGAGTTGCTGGCGAGCTAACACAAGTCCAGAGCATGCATTGAGGAAGTAACGTTAATTGAGGTATTCCCCGTAACGCAACAGGCGTGGGAGTGCGAACTGCCCGCACACAATCCATTCACTGGCGGATGCGACAGAGTTCCATATAGCTGGCCTGGAGCGTAGTACAATCTGAAGGGCAGGACGCTCTCATAACAGTATTGATCCTGCCAGCGGTTCAACAAGGGCCACTCCTCTGGGCAGACGGGAATTCGGCAAAATGCACTTTTAACATTGAGCTTAGTAAGGTACAGCGGGGCGAGCAATTGTCTAATCATGTTTGCAGCATTGTCATCTTGATATTGTGGAGAGATACGGTCTGCTGGAATGTAATCGTTGACACTTCGACCCTGCAGGCTTTACAAAGGGTGTGTCGTGTGTAACTAACCGTTCGTCTAGGAACCGCATCTACGCCGGAACAGCACAGAGACGAGAAATGGGGTGAAGAACACAGGCCAGCTGTTTCAAGCCTGCTGCAAGAAACGGATCGTTGCGCAGAAATATAATCTGGGTTAGCATGTGACCGTCTTGAATTCAATGGATCCCAGTTAGTTGAGTGGTTGCCGATGAAACCTACCACAACACCGCAATTACGACCATGTGCAACATACCTCCGAGCATAGGATCAGGATGTGAGTCCAGTAATTTTGAGAAGTGAGAAACTGAGTGCTTACACAGTTACTGATGAGGCCTTACACTTAGCCCTGGCGTGCTCCTGTCGGCACTGGAGGCAGCACTGCCTGAGCTGACACGTGCAAGCGCCGTACTCTTAGTAGCGGCATACGGTTGCGGTACGTGATGCGGATCTGTACTGGTGAGTAGGTCGAAATGCGCTCGGAAATGCTGGCGGGTGCAGTGAGCTGCACTGCTGGCAGGCGGGTCGTGCTGTTCCAGTACACCGTGAGGCGCAGTTGCCACAAGTTGATATTGATAACCTGGCTTTGGAGATTTTTATTTTTCATTGCTATCAGGTTCAGCTTAATTCCCTCTGTGCTGCGCTGATGAGTCCACGAAGGACGAAACAGTTGTCCGCAGATTGAGTATTGGTAACGTCCAGTTTCTAGGTGGCAAGAACTGGCGATTGGCCGCGACGATCGTGGCCAAATACGTCCACAGGCGCTCGTGAAACGCGGTGAGGAACAGTGGAACACCGACCATTCATGAACACTGTGCAGGTCTCAACTCAAGTGCTACCGTCATGCAGCCTACGAAGCGCAGTTCTGGGTTCAGATCCAAATAAATGCTAATGCGCCAGAAGAGCAACATATGAGGGGCTACGGTGTTGGACCGTCGCCGGAGCTGCACTGACTGCAACTGTATCGGGCAGCAGGAAATCGAAGTCCACGAACTCGCCTCTCTGGACACGATTGAGAAGGGTCCGTATAGGACAGTCAGGTTCACCTTCTGTTGGTGCTGCATGCGCATATGGCGGTCGTCACTGCACCGGGCTCCCAGTAGGGTCCGGCCTGCTGGCGGCGAGCGGCGATACGGATCCAAGTAGAGCGAGGAGAAGCTGGGTGGCGTTGGTGACGGCAGTGGACAACTAACGTTGTTACTTCCAACAGAAAGTCAAAGTCCACGAACTCGCCTCTCTGGATACGAATTTCGATCGTCAGGCTCGCGCCTGCTGTTGCAGTGGTGGTGCTGCGTGGCGGCCGTCGCTGCGTTCGCAGTAGGCGGGCGGCGGAGCCAGGTAGAGCGAGGCGATCCGGAGAGGCTGGACGCCGGTTGGTGACGACGACATTGTTTCAAGGCACAACCAGGGGTCGCTGAGATCGCGTGGAGGTACTAGTACTTCATTTCAGGAAACCTGATGATGGCGCAAGCTAAAAAGTCCACAGTCGACGTTCCACTGTAGACGACGACATTGTTTCAGGCACCAACAGGCGTCATTGAAGTCTGAATTTGAAACGTAGAGATACGAGAATGCAAGCTTGAAAGTCTAACGAAAGGAAATTGTTTGGGAACACCTGTTCCGCAAGTTGCACGCTCGAAAGTCCAAACAGCAAAGACATGCCAGAGACATTGTACAGGATTTTGAAGGGCGCGTGCGCACATGACTCGCGCATGCGTGCAGGTTGGGCCAGCTCGCTGGGCTGGCCGCTAACTCGCGTTAGCATGCTAACGCTCATATAATGGTCCGAAAGTGCAACAACTATGAAACAAACTGAGGCAATACATGTTCTCGCTCCACATATACTGGCATACACAGAGACATAGACTGCAATAGCGACAACACACAAAGTGAAGGGTAGTTGGCCGCAGCCAGATGTGAAAGGGTAGTTGGCCGCAGCCAGATGTGAACCGGATAACGAGTGAGGTATGGAAGCAAGCAAGGACTGAGAACAGAGTGTCTCAGATAGAATAGTCGTGCCAGTGGATAGCAGATATAGGCCATGATGCAGAACCACTTGGGACCGTCAGATTAATTTTCCTGGACCGAGCCAGCCGGGAAAAAACCCCTCGCGCCGACGGACGCATTTGTGAGGGAAAAAACCGGGTGTATATCCCCAATGGCGATTAGGCATCATGTAGGCATGGCAAGCACATCACGGCAAACAGTGATAAAAAGCACTGATAATATGCACAGAAATAAAGGGTGGGAGGGCAGGGACACTGGTGAGACTCAAAACTGACTGAAGAAGTCAGGAAAAGAAGCGACAACAAAGAACACACAAGATGCCATATTTGCAACTGAAAATATTTCGCGAGAAATACAACGTCTTATACCTAGTTTAAACACATCTCCGATGTGCACAACAGCCTTCAAGCGTGGAAGGCTCATGATCTTCAAGCTTGGAAGGCTCATGACCCACTATTTAGTTAGTGATTGACAGTTGTTCATAGCTCGTATCCATGTGTCCTTTCTCCTATTGGCTGGGTACATGAAAAGATGGGTGCACTGGGGATATTACTATTTGAAGGTGCATGTGCCTAGTAGCACGCGTGTGAGCGTCATTGGTTGCCATGGTTATTTTTGCGATAATAAATCGGCAATTGATAGGGCCGTTCACCTTTTGTACCATAGTGACACTCTGTTAATTTGCCTGGAGATATTTCTTTGCTCACCTTCAGAACCTTTTGTAACTTGTTTTCAGCTTGGCTGAAGAGTGTGTGCAATGGGTATAAGTTTCACCATTGCGTTTGTGCATCCATTCCCACGCGTGCTTGTGTGTCTGTGGAATGCCAGGGATCTTGCGAATAACCAGCTGGAAAGCTACCCATCATCTGGTTTTCAGCTATCCAATCTCACCTTCCTGTAAGTTCTAGTTCCACTGACAGCAGCTTGATGCAGGGCAGGCTGTAGTAAAAAGAAAAATTTCACACATTCGTGTTGCCACCTGCTATATAATTGTGTTGAGAAATGACCACCACTTCATAGCTCGCTGGGCATCCCATTGCTTTGTAACTTGCTAATCCCTATCCCTTTTGTGTACAGTGAAACCTGTCCAAAACGACCGCTCAAGGGACCATCAAAACGTGGTCTCTGTTACCAGGTGGTTTCCTTATCCGGGGTCATTTGACTGGAAACAGCATCCCTTGGTCCTGGTTTCAGTGGTCTTCTAGGACAGGTGGTCGCCTTATCCGAGTGTTCGCCTTGACAGGTTTTACTGTACGTGCTTTTCTTTTCTTTTTTTCTCTTCTTCCGTGGTTGGTCTCAGTCTCACCCTCTCCTCAATTCAATTGGCTGTCTTGACATGCTACGAGGTGCAGAAATAAATAAAATAATAATGATACAACCGGCTTAGGAAGTTTCTCTTGCGTCAGGCCACCACCATGCCTGAGATACTCATGTAATAAGGCAACACTGCCTGTTTGTTATTCGACGTTAAATAAACCAATCCAATCCAATACCGGGGTGGCAGATGCAGTGTCTAGCGGGCAAGGGTGAGGTGGTAAGTCTCACAACCAGTGCCCGACAACAGGGCTAAGCCTCGCTAGCTGTGTCCATGTTACCTTCACTCCGAGTAGTGAGGCTGTACTGGACAACCTATAGATTATTGATCGGGTCGCACTACTGTCATTTGAGTGGTACTGCCATCAATTGGGTTGTACTGCCATCGGTTGGGTTGTACTACCGTTGATTGGTTGTATCAAATCGATATTGGTCCTGTTAGAAGGTTGCAATCAGCACTGGATTGACAATCTAGTGGGTAGTATTCTGGCTTCCACCCTGTCGCATATTCTTTGGCTTGCACCCGCAAAGTGCATTTGTGCTATCTGATACAAATACAGTTGCGACACTCTTTTTTTGTTGTAAACTAGGAGATTGAGGAGCCTATGTGGAATTCCTAAATATGCATAGCTACATCATACACTTCAGTCGTGTTTCTGCCGGTCTTGTCTTGCAGTGATCTCTCCGGCAATTCCCTTCCAGTGGATCCGGAGAACTTCACGTGGTCTGTGGACACACCTCAACTTCAGTATCTGTAAGCCATGTGGTACCTGCATCATAGTGTTAGCTGCTCTGCCTGAACAGTCTTCCTCCAAGGCATTCTCATAGGACAGTCTTGACGTTTCATGAGTTTCATCATAGGAAGAAGTATCATGGAAGAAGGAAGTATAGAATGAGCCACAACGGGCAAAGATGTGGGAGTAACTGTTATGAAATAGTGAGCAGTATTTTCGTATCGTGACCTGTATACTGTATGAACGTCGTAGTATCAGTACACCTGTTCTAATAGTGTCCATATCCACTGGATATGTGCTGCTCTAGGCCCTCCAACCATGTGCGTCAGCAGTGAGCGCTGGTCAGTTCTAGTGAAAGATGCATTGGACTATGAACTGGTGCACAGAGCCGGTTTAATATTAGACGAGAATTCATTGACCGCAACCTTTTCACTCCTTTCATGCATCTAGCCAGCTGAAAATGAAGAAAAAATGATGAAACTCTTATCGAGAGATGCCTTGCAGTGTGTAGCGCTCATGCTATGACTAAAAAAACGGAACGACAAAATATACTTGTTCTGCTCGACGTCTTCTCGTTCCTGGCATAATCATGTTCAAGCAGAAGTTTGTTTCTTGGCCCAAGTGCAGTAACTGGTTGGTTAGCAGAAAACACTATGATCCAGAACCGGTGGAGCACCGTGCATGGGGTGTTCCAGTTGCAGATCAGATAGTAACTAAAGTAGTACCTCTCTTGTCTGGGATGTTCAGGACTGAAGGGTGCCCATATTTAAGACCTACTTGCAGCTGAGAAATGCATTCCAACCAGAATGGATATGACACACAGTGGTCATACAACGAAATGCAGCAATGCGATTTTGTTTTGCCTTGTTCTGTGCTAACAGGAACCTTTCATCAAACATTGGGAACGACTCCGAGACAGCAAATATATCTGCTGGAGCATTCAGTGGACTCTCTCACCTGAAAGATCTGTAAGTCAATGCTACTGGTGCACACCATGCCTTTGTGCATGTTCAGTCAGGGCAATTATGCATTCTAACCCAGTTGCAATAATGTTCCAGTCAATGCACTCCGTGAGTTAGCTGTTGTGGAGGGGCGTATGTGAGGTGTTCCTTGTCCTAGGTCTTTAATAATTTTAATCCGTGCTACGTACTGCTTTTGTACTGGTCATATACATGTCCAACAGTGTCAGTGAGCTCTGCATAACGCAAGCAGCAAAGGCACTACCCCACATGAGAGTGCTCAACTGCTACAAGAGCACGAGCGAAATACTCGACAATCTGCGGACAGAACTGTATCGTCATTTGTGTACTCCTCAGCGCAGCCAGAGTGCTCAAACTGACAAAATTATAATAGCTGAAAGTACTGCATTCGTTGTCCTGTGCCATGCTACAACTTTCAACTTGCCACATTGATAGTTTCTATTGTAAAATGTTCAATTTGTACTTTCTCCTCTCCTTGTTCTTAAAACCATACTATTGCTCTTGTTGCTTGATTTGTTTGAAATAGGATACTGAGCGACTGTGCCATTGAGATCATAGATCAAGACAGTCTGACTGGATTAGATGCACTGGAAGTGCTGTGAGTGATTTCAATGTGTGGGGTGCTCCATAGCCTGTTGCGTGTGTGCGTGTGTGTGTGTGTGTGTGTGTGTGTGTGTGCGTGTGTGTGTGTGTGTGTGTGTGTGTTTGTGTGCGCGCGCATGTGTGTGTGTGTGTGTGTGTGAGAGAGAGAGAGAGAGAGCATGTGTGTGTGTGTGAGAGAGAGCATGTGTGTATGTGGGGGGGGGGGGGCATCGTGTATGTATGCATGCGGGTGGGTGTATGCGGGTGTTCAAGTAGTGGATTAAGGTACCAAATGGAAAGTTGCCATTACGTTTGACGTATCCACTTTGCTTATGTTCGCTTCCACTGTGAGTTCTACTTTGTTCTGTACAGGCAGCTGTCCAATAACTCTATTCAAAGTATGCCTGAGCCATTGCTCAATGGGGGCTTCAACTCTTTGAAAGTTCTGTAAGTGATTGAGATAGATACCATTCCGATCCTATAGTGCCTCTTTGAGAGCTGCCATTGCGTGATCTGGTCCACTCTTCTCTGTGTGTGTGGGTCGTGTTGGTATGTGGGTGCGTGCATGTGTGAGTGTGCGTGTGGGTATGCGCGCGAGCGTAGAGGGGTTGAATCTACCTGTTTGCATGCAAGGGACGAGGCACAGGCAACTGCCCTGCATTTTACTACTGTGGTGAAGATGTGAACCAGTGGCCTCCATGATGCTTACTGTCTCAAATACTTGTTGTATGTGTATGTGTGCTCAGCAATCTATCCTACAACAGTATTGGAACTGTTGGTGGAGGCTATCTACGATCACTGCCACAGCTACAGACTATGTAAGAGTGGCACTACATGACCTGCTCAATGCGTCGCGGGGGGGGGGGGGGGGGGGGAGGAGGACTGAAACAGGCACAGATATGCATACGGCGTATACATGAGCTTTGAAGGCACGTGTTCCATGTGGTCATGTAGTGGTCAGTGTTGCTGCATATATTACAGATAACTACATAGAAGAATGTGAACTGCTCCTCGATTAAGCAGCCCTGCAAGTCAATTACGCACTGCAAAGCCCTGGACCTGCCAACACCGGTTTGTGCACTGATGCATCATGTTAACTCGACTCCGTGATTGAACTTCATTGAGCGGCACTGTACTCGTGGAGTTGTTCCTCAAAGCAAACACTCAAATCGAGGAAGAGAAAGAACCCTTCGAAAAAAAGACACAGTTATAGTGACTTGAAGTAGGTCATGTAGCAGTTTGTCTGTTGTGAATCCAGTGGTCTGGTATTCGGCTGTCGGTGCTCAACAGTCAGGCAGCTATGCCAGTCTAAAAAGTCAAGAGAAGAGAGTGCTAGAGGCGTATAGTGAGGTTGGAAAGAGTGTAGTGTATAGTGTTTTTCGCCGTATTGTCTCTCTCCGTACTGTCTCTCTCTCATATGTATTATCTGCGCATGCTCGTTAACCATTCTCGCTCCACATACACCGACATACTGATATGGACCCAGGCAACACTGGCAGGAGCACACAGAGTGAGGGTAGTAGGCCGCAGCCAGATGTGACAAACACTGTCCCACAATGGACTCCTGCGTGGCTTGCAGGCCGAACATACCAACGCGTGTGTCTGATTTTCACAGGCCACTGCAGGCTTCATTGCCCACCTTTGATGCTCTTACCTTATTGTGAAAGTTTGCGAAGCGGTGAAACCTGTAGACGGCCAGCAGACTCCCAGTATCTATGGTGCTTGTGTTGCACAGTGTCCACCGCTTTCGTTTTGGAATTTGACAAGGGGCCAAACTATCCTTCCTCTCACTAACAACATCCACTAGCCCTTTGTAAGGGTTGGTCCCGTAAATGTGCACCCACAAAACTGCACGACTCTAAAATTGCAGGAGATAGATATGGATGGACCTTGAAGTTACGAGTTATGCCTAACAGTCTACCAAGGTAACGAGATAATAATTATACAGTCAGATAGTGCAACAACAAGGCACAAAACTGTCGGGGATATTGAGACATTCGACGACCTGACACCTAGCTCCAACACATCTACGAAGCTCAAACCAAACAACCTCGGTGGACTGCTAGTCACAACTCGGAACTTATAGGTTCTTTTCTATTGACTCAACATCCAAGATTGGTATGGGTAAATCTTATTGGAAACTGTATGAACATACGCTTTTGATAAGCCCACATATGAGCCAGCAATAGGAAATGCAATTGAAATATGCGAAAGTGCTAACTTGCACTAGCAACACAGTAAAACGTATAGACAACCAGTTTTACTCTTTCTCACCGGAAATAAATTTTGTTCGTTTTGTGGGCTTATGCAAGCTTTTGCGATGCTCCCTTGGGATTGGGATATATTCAGCTCAACTATGTAACGTTTTCATTGCCATTGTAAACATTTTCTCCACCTCTTTTTTCTATTGCTCTCTTTCTTCTGCTTGCCTGTATGTGTCAGAGATCTGCAGAATAGTGAAATCCGACAGGTGTCTGTGACTGCCTTTCAGGATCAGCGGAGCGTCGACAATGTGTAAGTGGCTATTGTCTACGTTTGTGATGTCGCTCAGCACAGTGATTGACTAGTCTCGTTTTAGCTTTGTGAGCACACACTACGCTGCTCTTGCGGCCTCTTGCTTTCGGGACGCGCCTGAATATTGTGCATTGCCCTGACAACCTCTCTAGCGGCAGTGTTGTCGGTCGACCGCACCGGGGAATCATGTCTAAGCCCAAGCAGGGTGTGCCATGACCAAACCGGTCATCCCTTCCTTACTCTGGTCACTTTCCACCTGCAGTGGACTCCGTTGGATTTCCGTGGTATCTGCGCTGGTCGGTCGGCAGTGCTCTGTGTGCTCTGATCTCTTTCCACCTATTTCTCTTATTATCAGTGGGACCACTGTCATTAGGTTTAGGCCTGTTTTGGAACTCCACTTTAAATAAAGCCAAACAACAACAACAACTATAATTGACTACAGATGTCGCATTGATGTGGCTTTTCCGTGTGGAGCAGGTCAACACACTGCTGACCAAGTGTAGCACATAGGAGCGGTGTGCTATCCTTCAACAGGCGGTTGGTCGGTCGACAGTGCGCTGTCTATACTCTGCTCACTTTCCGGTGGACTGCGCACTTTGCACTGGTGTGGTTTCTCCGTGTGGAGCAGGTCAATACACTGCGGAACGAGTATAGCGCACAGAAGTGGTGTGCTATCGAGGGCTTCCTTCGATAGGTGGTTGGTCGGTCGGCAGTGCTCTGTTTCCACTAGAATAATTTGTCCGTGGAATACTGCTGAACGAGTATAGCACACAGGAGCGGTGTTCGGAAGACGTGTGCAGCTGCGACGCTCCACACCCAAACACCGCACGACAAGGGAGCAGCTTGCTATTGCTGTGAAGCCCAAGTGTGGATGAGAAGCTCTCTTTTGCAAAACTTACAAATCCCTTCCTTGCAGTCCCCAAAAAAGACTCACCGAAAACTACCTCAGTGTACTCCTTCATACACCTACAACATGCATGAGAAACCGAACTTCAGGCCCAATCAGCTAGCACCAAACACAAGGTAAAGAAAACAACGGAAGTAGGACAACACACGAAAGTCACAGCTATAGCTATAGGTGAAACAAGAGGGGTGCACTGCATGACAGTGAGTTGCATGACCTCCTGAACAAGCGGTGTATTAGCATTGTCTCCCTTCCAAAGGTAGCATGCTGGCGTGACGTTTTCAGCCCTGCGCTAAGAAACCACGGGTGGGTGCCAGGTCATTCGATAGAGTTTAGAGCTTGGGCTGGCCTTGCCTTCGACTGTGCCGCCGCGATCTTCTTGTGTCACCTACGCGCTGCGCATGGTTTCTTCCTCGATGTGGCTACAATTATTTTTGGATTGTCGCTCGATTTCAAGAGCTCGCCTACCTCGTCAGTGAATTTTCTAGGCCTCGCAGGAAATTTTCTAGTATACCTCGCTGTCCCAGCGAAATGATTTCGTGTATTCCTAAGCTTGACGTGCATCACTCTAACTTTTCGTGGCCAGTTTAGAGACAATACTTTGTTCAGAAATGGAGGTGCATGTTAGCATCCTGTCTTTGTGTTGTCGCATTGGAGAGGAGAAATTCGCGTCAAGGAGTGTACGGACCAAGTATCGTGTGGCAGATCATACTGAATCCATTTTGGCAGTATTTCACCTCAATGTGCCAAAAGATGAGCCAAATGTACACCCAGATCATGTTTGCCACACTTGCAAATTGGTTATGGATTGCAGTGCTACTGCTATGGGCCCAAAATTCGCTAGAGGTGGATGTGGACCGGTCAAGAAATGGGAGCCACATAGTGAGATAAAATGTTCTGTGTGCACGCCTTTCAAACCGGGTAGGAAGCCGAAGCACGCAACTCAAATGCAGGACAAACGTTCGGCATGGGAGAAAACCCCATCGCCCACACGCACGAGCACGCCAACATCACAGACGGGAGCAGCACCAACAAACCCTCGCCCCACCACACCAGTAATTGGCATGGATAGGACGGAGTCTGATGTCCTGCAGCATGCCACACCCGCATATCAAGCTGGTAAACCTCTGCAGCCGGAACGGTTTATTGATCGGAACGTCGTTAAGCGAGCACAATGTCCATTATGACAGAATGCGTTGGAGAGAGCAGTGCTGGCAGCTTGCTGTGAGACAATGTTCTGCTGTGCATGCATTTGCAGATGGCTACAGCAGAAAGCCACCTGCCCTAAATGCACAGCACCCATGCAAGCATCAGAGCTAGAGCAGCCAAACAACACAGTTTGTGGGTTCCTCCAAGACTTCACAGTACACTGTCACAGTTACCATGAGCCAGCTCTGGCAGGGTGCCCTGTCACAGTTCCGCTGCGCAGTCTTCAACAGCATGCGGGGGACTGCTCCAATCCTGTAACGCCAGCAATGCCTATTCGAGCAGTCAGTGCATCACCCCTGGTCGGTGACGTCCTGCAGGCCTCACATTGAAGATGCGCTGATCGGCTCGCCGGTGCGATCGTCACGAACAAAGCCATTGAAGGACGACTAAAAATCAAAACCAGCTCTAGAGGTAGACCCCAGGTATACCAACGAATAACTGTCGCCAGCACGTCATCTGATGCTGCATCAGCGTCAAAGGTACGGCGGCGGTCGCAGGAACTGGGCACAGTCGGTCGGACGCTCACTGGTGGAGAAAGAGGCCTGCGAGCCCAGGAAGCAGCAGGCATAAAGCGTTTGTCAATAGCCGAGCAAGAGAGCTTGCTCCGAGAAGTAGGCTTGCACCACTCAGCCACCAGTTGTGGGAAATTGGGCCAAAATAGCCCATACTTTAATTCGAAAAATCACAACCTGAAATATTGTGGCACCGGTTCCGGCACCCCGGTATTCTATACCAAAGGCCAGTTTTCTGGGATAGATTTAAAAATTGTCCAAACTAGCCTATGCACAAAGTCTCTATGGTCCTTACTGCAAATATTCCATACCCTAGGCAGAGGGCACAGCAAAAAGGCAAACGAACAAACCCCCAGGAACGCTTTCTCCTTACTTGTAACGCAGAGTTTGATGTTTGGAAAACCCAAACACCAGGCCCTAGTACGTGTTTTGTAACACGGAAGAAAGCGCTTTTCGTCTGTTGTCTTGCTTTTGTGCTACGTTCCATGCAAAGAGAAAGTACTGTAATATTAATGCAGGGTACCTTGTAACTGAACTGTACCACTACACGACGGACACAACTGTACCACTGCACGACGGACACAGCTTTTGTAAATTTGACTTCAAAAAAGTTCCAGCTATTCCATACCTCGGCCGAGATTGTCATGACCAGCATGGCGAGATAGATACGCCATGCTGGTCATGACAATCTCGACTGAGGTATCAAATGCATATAGTACAGTCCTGGTAACTGAAATCCGACCACTGGCCTGGAGCGTTGCGCTCACAGTGCCAAGATGCAGCATGGGATTGACTACGCAATAGAGACCGCCAGAATCGATGCTGCACTCTAGCACAGAAGTCAGGTGTTGGATTTCACATGCCACCACTGTAGGTACATGCTCCATGCTGGTCATGACAATCTCGGCTGAGGTATCGAATAGTGGAGACGAGGCATCATGAGGTATCGAATAGTTGAGACGAGGCATCATGAGGTATCGAATAGTTGAGATGAGACATCAGCAAGCAAATGGTGATGGGCGGAGGATGTAGTCGAGTGATTCACTGCATTAAAAAAAATTTCACGGTTCGCGTGAGACTCGGCTGGAAGCCGGGTTTTCCGCATCCGTAGGAACGCCACCACCCTTCAAGGATCAATGCGCAGATGCAGCTCCTAAAGCGGTGGGAGGTGATTCACTGCATTGGGTGGATAAAATGGTGGTTTAATGACCATGTCCCCTACCATCATGTCATGCTCCACTGCAGATACCTCAATGACAACAGTATACAAGAGCTGGAGCTGGGTGTGTTTCGAGGCATCCGTCCATCAGCTTTGTGAGTACTTTCGATTTCTGTGTCTTTGCTCGACTGGTAAAGACCAGAGGCAGGGTTGTGCTGTGTGTGTATGTGTGTGTATGTGTGTGTATGTGTGTGTATGTGTGTGTGTGTGTGTGTGTGTGTGTGTGTGTGTGTGTGTGTGTGTGTGTCCCATATGGTGCAGTGGTATGTGCAGTCGATTTCCAATCGAGAGGTTGCGGGTTCAATTCCCGACGATTATGGTCGCACATGTCTTTCTTCTCTTTCTCATTCTCCTAGCTCTTCTTTCATTCTCCTGGGTGGTAACCAACAGCCAGTGTATGCCGGAGTATGTGGTGTGGCGTGTGTGTGTAAAAAAAATGAAAAATAGGGATTCACTGGCCAGAAAAAGCCACTTCAATCAGCTGTGTGGTGGATACCAGGCTAAAATTAGTGGCGGTCAATTCATCAGCCTTGCAAGCTGTTGAATAGTGTAATCCCAGCACAAGTTGCTATGTCTAAACATAGCTGTTCGCTATCATCGCCTCTGCGGTGGGCAGGTCTGAGGTCTGAGGTGTGTGTGTGTTTACATTGTATGCAACTAACAAGGTGCAGTGCAAGTGAAACTTGGAAAACAAACACTTTCCAAAATATTCGGTGGCTCCACTGCAGCCAACAATAAAATAAATAATATCTAAACAATATCGCTGCTGCCATCGCCACCACCCTCTTACGCTGCAATTCAAGAATAATATCTCTCCAAATGTTCACCTGTGGCGCTTGATCGGGGAGTTTGAAAAAGAAGCGGGCCCAGTTGTAGTTTACATGTATGAGAAAGAAAATTATGGAGAACCGTGTGAAATGCGGGGAACAAACATGACAAAATATCGGTAGCATGGACAAGTAGGAGGACATAGCCATTTTTTCAAGTTCCTTAGGTTTTTCATCAACCACCACACCACAATTGCGCTCTCCAGCCGACCTCGACATCTTGCCACAGCACACCGTCCGCGAAGTGACATGTCCCGTACTGGGCCGAATGCCGAATGCTACTGATTGTCCTTAGGAGGTAGTAGACAAAATTGAACTAAGCAGGTACTTATTTCCAAAGGCATTTGGGCAAATGGACAGTGGTCCGAACACGCAGATCTTACCCCAAGTACCGTGATTTAGGCTGCCATAACTCAGTTGCTCATAGTTCTCATGAAACTGTGGGTGAGCTCTTCGCCTAGTAGACCCAGGTGCTCGAAGTCCGGACATGGTATCCTAAGTTCGTACACCCATATTTTCATGTTCTGTTATTGTATTCGACTCGAATATTTTACGGAGGGGACAGTGTGGTATGTTCTCCTCGCGTACCAATTTTCCGGGATCTACGATAAGCAGAAGTCCCAGACCAGACGAGTGGGTTTTCGAGTGTCCATTCGAAATACAAATAGGGTTACATTTCATGCAAAAATCAACTTTGCCAAGACCGATTTCGAACGGACACAGCGTCAAACAGATCTGCACTCAATCATCAAGAGCCAGCTTAGAGCTGAGAATGGCCAGAGGAGAAGAATTTTCAGAGAACCACCAATCCTTGCAGAAAGGTTGACACTCCTGGCATATCCACCACTGTTTTCACGCGTTTTTCACAGCGCAGCTGCTTCATCTCTGAGCCGACTAAAAACAGCTTGCATTTCGGCAACAAACTACTGTTTTCCAAGAAATTCTGGTGGAGGCACATGCCAAACATATCCCTTCGGTGCTTTCGTCGTAACCGAGGGATTGCAAGTTAGCAATTAGCAGAAATTTGTGTGTATTTCGAGTCACCTCTGAGTAGTACGGACTTAGAGCACCCTCTGCGACCACAAAATTTGATATGAAAAATCAGCGAACTCCAGAGAAACAGATCGGATCGAAAGATGGCCTGGTTCAATCGATCCTGGCCTCAAAACAAACTTGGACAAGATACCTTCCATCCACGAGCAGGATTCTGGCAAGTGATCATTGCTAGTGTGAGTTTCAGCTCGGCCAACACACACAGTAAAAGTGTCCGGACTTCGAGCACCTGGGTCTACGCATCCAGTTGCTGGGATTTGAGGTTGGCATGCAACGAAAAGCCAATTTTGAAACATACAGTAACACCTACTGTACATAAACACATCATTCCAGCGGCTTCCACATTCGCTGGATGGCATCGCGTAACTCGACCATTACTGAATTAGTGTAGCCCAGAAGCAGCCTTTTCTTGACAGTTACCGAGTTAGCGTAGCAGAGGCCACTACATTAAAACCTGTAACTAACAACCACCCATTGGGGCCAGAGAAAGCGGTCTTTAGCGGCAGGTGGTCCGTAGTTAGAGGTTTGCACCGCATAACCATAGTTATATGAATGTAAGATGTTCCGTGCCTGGCAAAGTGGTCTGTAGTACCGGGCTAGTTGCTAGTCACGATGATCTTTAGTTACAGGTTTTACTGCACTAGAACACATCCTTGTCTCAAAATACAATCCCTTTCATACACACTCTTATGATGTGTGCCATTCTCGAATGCCTCCCTGTGCATCTGCAGACACCTATACAACAACCCATTCCGGTGCCTCTGCACCATTCAGTGGCTGCGTACGTATGTTGACCAGTGGTCGGCGGTCATCCCGCGCGCAGACGAGATCCTCTGCTCGCAGCCTTCGAGCGTGTCTGGACAGGTTCTCAGCACCGTTCCAGCCGCGGATATGCTATGTGGTCAGTTTGTAGTTGACTTTTAATGGTGAATGCAGTTCTATTGTCAATAGTTGCAATGATACCTGTCTGAGTGCTTCTCACACTGCTAATGTATTATTCTGTGCAATTCAAAGTCATAATTAGACTTACATGTATATATAATATTCGTCGTTGAAAATGATGCCCAGGCGCTAGGGACGTATATAGACGTCTTTTCCAGTTCCAAATACGGTGAGCAGACACATGGCAACTTATAGCTTACCCTAGTTGTGGGTGTAGTACCCTAATCATCACTTATTTCTGTTCCGTTGTGCACCAGTAGTCAGTAGAGGCTGTGCATCATGGGACGAGTGCTGTGCGAGGTGAAACTCCATTCAGTGGAGCAGCTCATAAATGGAGATATGCACACTCGGATGAATGGGGTCGTGCGCATCTGAAAAATACGAATTTCAATGGGGAAATTACTTCGGAAAGTGTAGGGCATCTCGCGCCGGCGAAGTAATCAAATGTATCATTGGCGACAGCATTCAGTTTTTTAACGTGTGCGTAATGTTTCTTCTGATTTGACTTCATGGCTTTTGTCACACTGCAGTCCTGCCAACTGTAGCTGTTCCACTGAACAGCACCAGCTCACTGGAAGGTACATCGCTGGATCTGCCGTGCAACATCACGGGTGTGCCGCAACCCGCAGTCACCTGGACCAAGACGGGCCTGACGGGCTCAGTTCTCAGCATGCCGGACGTGGCCTGGATCGAGTCGGAAAGCACGCTGCGCATATCCCGCGTGCAGAAGCTGCACGAAGGGGCCTATACATGCCATGGACAGAACTCGGTCGGTTCAACTTCCACATCAGCCTTCGTAACCGTCCTAGGTATGTATTGTCATTTGTTTCTAGATTCCATTACTGTTTGCTGGTGGGATAGTGTCACACACTAATGACTATGTTTGCCCCTCTCCTCCTCCCCCCCCCCCCCTCCCAGATAATTGTGCTGCAGGGAACTGCCAGCTGTTCTCAGTCAACCTGTTTGACTTTCATGCAAGCGGCAACGCAAAGCACGCCAAGTTCGGCTACAGCTCAGCCTGGGTTCAGCCCAAGTCCATGCCTGGTCTGCTGGAGAGGACGCTGGACAGATCCACACAGCTGCCAGTGCTGAACGCAAGCCTGCTGAACGAAACAGCAAGCAACTCGACATTGCCTACGGACGTATCGAAGTGGTACAGCAACGGGTCAGACAGTACATTTGTTAGAAACAGCCTGCGCTTTGATATCAGTTCCGTTCCTGCTTTATCAGAATCAGCCGACGCCTTGATCTTGGACAGGAATCCATTCTTTCCAGTGGACCGTATTGGCTTCAAGGAAGCTGTGGACTGCTCTGGTCTCACTCACAACCCTGGGTAAGACTGACCTAGATGTATTACTCCTTGTTGGGACAATGTGCATTGGAAACCTTTTGAATAATTTGTTGGAACAATTTGTTGGGAGAACGTGCATTGGATATTTTACCTTTTTTGGTGCATTTTAAAACAAATTCGGTGCTGTCCAGTCCATGTAAATTTGAGCTCTGGCAATAAGAACATCACAGTAATCTTGCAGGAGATATGGTCTGTGAACACTCTAATGTACTGAGCTCTGTAGTAGACCGGGTGTCTGTGCTAAGAAGTTAGTTGCCTAGTTCCAATGACACATGGGTTTCTAGGCATTCCTGTCAAGTGTCATTGTTGTTGTTGTTGTTGTTGTTACTTTATTTTACTTCACCAGAATTACAGGCAGTAGAATGCCTTCTCACTAGACCAGGTCTAGTTCTCACAAATGATGGAGAATGTGAATGAACGTGCTGAAGCTAATGAAAAACAAGAAATAGAAAAAGATGAGAAGAACTTGTTTGCTTTATTGAGATCGGCTCTCGGCCCTGTTATCCAGGTGGACTATGCTCTGGTCGGCGTCAATATCAGTGAACGAAAACTTCAATACCACACAGCCGGGCACACACATGCTGACACTGAACACCGACTTGGAGGCCTGGCTCTTTGTGGATGGCATTCTGGCTATGGACCTTGGTGGCCTGCACGCGCCTCAATGCCAGCATGTTCTATTTGAAGATGTCTCCGAGAATGGTAAATCCTGTGCTGCTGTCCTGGTTCAACTTACACACAGTTCTGTCAATGCGCTTTACCCTCCTGTGGGCTGCCATGCATGCTTCTGGAAGTGCAAACGTTATGCCATTAAACCACTGGAGGACTTACACCCGGGCTTTGCTTAGTAGATAAAGCAGTTGTCTCATAGTTCTACGTAGTCTGCAGAAAGGACTGCTTTGTCCTCTTTCCGTGCTGCAGCTTGTCCCACGAAAGAGGCTGATGATTAACGGGATTGTGTGTGTATGGGTGTGTGGGTGTGTGGGTGTGTGGGTGTGTGGGTGTGTGGGTGTGTGTCATTTAGTGGCATGCATATGGTGTGGTTACGTTTGTGCGGGTATGTGTGTGAAAGGAATGGTTAAAGAAAAGCTTGTCGGCTACATGCCTGTTTTCTGTGTAGGTGTTCGTGTTGATGTGTACGCCGGTGACACTGTGACCAATACCTTGGCATGTGCTACACCTGTATTGGTCAGCTCTCACAGGCTAACAGCGATACCTGTAAGCACATTTGACAGAAAATATGTCACTCTGCCCTTTTCAAAATATTTTTTATGTTGGTGAAGTGGTGGGGGGGGGGGGGAGGAGGGTAAATTTACCCTTGGCATGACATGTTGTGCTTGCTTTCCCACTATTGCTATCGCACTAATCATCTTCTCTGCATGTAGTCCAGTGCATGGGAGGACAAGGACCGTAGTAGTGGTAGACCTACTTAAGATCGCATCACAAAATAATGACCGTAGTGTTATTGGATTTAACCAAATTCCCAATTTGGAAAGTCACATTTTAAACAGCTGGGACAGTGTGTTGCGAGTGCATTTGCAGTAATTGATGTGTTGCGAGTGCTTTTGCAGGTTATGACAAGAGGTAGTTGAGACTGTGTGTCGTGAGTGCGTTAGCAGTTTTTTGATATGCTGTACCTGCTCTGTGTCCGCTTTCCCCCTTGCCTTGTGCGTCGTCAGTACAACAACGTACGGCATCGCGTCGACTTGTTCATAGCCCACCGCACCCTGTGCTCGTCGCAGATCTACTTTGCCATTGTGGGTAGCGGCGGGCAGAGTAACAGCACCAGTACTGCGGTGGAAATGTTCACCATAGACGAGAATGTGTTCGGTGGAGCAGCGCTGGGCACTGTGCAAACGCCACTCTACCTACTGGACCAAGCGGTCACCGTAGACTACCAGCTATTGCCTCCATTCAATGCCCCGGGTCAACCCGCTGTGTTTGGTATCTCCCGGTCGGGGATATTGAGCACGCTCAAGTACTTGGACTACGAGGAGAGCACCGAATACCTGTTGACGTGTGCCGTGCTGGAGCGAAGCTCAGGAGCTGTGCTCGCAAGTGTTGGCCTGCTGGTGAGTAAAGCAGGCATTGCACTGAAAAGTATTGGTATGCATAGTCGAACCCTGTCAACCCGTTCTGGGTGTCATGTAGGGGAAGTGGAGAGGGTGATAAAACGTGGGGCGCTGCGGTTGACCTGTTGCATTTGATATGGAAAGTTCACACACATGCGTGCATGCATGTACGCACGCACATACGCACGCATGCATGCATGCACCCACACGCACGTGTGCACACACGCACATGTACGCCCGCACGCATGTGCACACACACATGTGCACAGACACACACACGCACACTATGGAGCGTATCTTTACATTCCCCAGGAATATGTCGTTCCCATTGCAGGTTCATCCCTGCACATTCCATGACAGTACTTCAGAGTGGTGACGTTCAATGCGCTACTGTACTAAACATTTCCGTAAAACTCTCAGACTCCATTGCAGCGTAGTTTTCACTTCTTTTGCATGGATGCCCTGATGATGCCCAATGGGCGAAATATTGGCATTAGGAAATCTATTCGATGCAGCTGAGAGCCTGTTATGTACGGTGTGCAATGGAGATATTTTCCGATACTGTACTAGAATCCAATCTAGTACATAACGTGCACTTCCTTGCCATGGTTGTGCTGGTATTGTGACTATCCACCCATGGTTGTGCTGGTATTGTGACTATCCACCCATGGTTGTGCTGGTATTGTGACCATCCACCCATGGTTGTGCTGGTATTGTGACTATCCACACTTGGTTGTGCTGGTATTGTGACTATCCACCCATGGTTCTGTTACTCTGGTGCCTACAGGTTCTGGTGGTGGACTTGAATGACAATGCACCGGAGTTGAACGTCACAACATACGACGCGGTGGTGAACGAAATGAGAGAAGAAGGAACCATCGTGGCCAGCCTGAACGCCACCGATTCCGATGCCAGTGGAAATGCGGTTCTGAGCTTTGTAATCGGAGATAAGGTTGTCACGTGAGTTCTTCTCGCTCGGATATTTCATATGGTGCAATATTTCACAGATGTGCACAAATATTTCCCACAGCCATGAGTGAGTTCAAACAAGAGAAACTAACAACAAGTAGGACTAATAAGCAATCTAGAAACAGGCAGGTGATGTGTATGTGTATATGACGTCATATAAACCGCTTTGCCACGGGTCAGGGCAACCCTGCCCGTGAGCTCATAATCATTTTCTTTTGAGTTTCATGAAGAATTGAACTCGGATGGTGAGCCAATTAAATTATGGTGAAAAAGGAGAAGGACAAAATGTTACGAGTTGTGACTAACTGTCGACCAACGTAACCTGATCTTATACAGTCAGCGAGTGCGACAAAATGGCACAAAGCTGACAAGGAGTACTGAGACATTCGGCGCCCTGACACCTAGCTCCAACACTTCTCCAAGGCGCAAACCAACAACCTTCCAACTTGGAAGGCTCAGGTTGGTGGAAAGGTCTAAGAGGGGAAGGAAAGTGCAATGAAGAAGAGCACGAGCTGCGCCCAACGGCAACAACCTTGTCTCAGTACTCATTGTCAGTTTTGTGCCATTTTGTCGCACGAGCTGACTGTATAAGATCTGGTTACTTTGGTGGACAGTCAGTCATAACTCGTAACATTTTGTCCTTCTCCTTTATGAAGAAGTCAGTTGTTTGTTCCAGGATGCCTTGTGTCGTTTGAGAGTGCGAGTCGGATAGCAGAGGCGAAAATAACAGCAGGTGGGTGAGTGAGGATGCAAGGAGAGACCGTGATAACCTGAAAATGGAGCATGGATGCATCAAACTGGCTGCTACATTATTATTGGATACATCACCTTGGCAGAATACTGCTGGCCGGAACACACAAACTCGCTTTTTCCGCTACAGCAGGCCAATCGAGATTATCACATCTCGTCCATAGCAGCTTATATATCCAAAATATGGCTTACGTCTGAGTGAACACAAATATGGTGTACGAAATTTCAGTTTCCCTTGCTGTTGTATACATTGTGGTCCTCTTTCATTCTGTTTTCCATACTCAGATCAGTAGGATATCAAGGCATGGCGAGGTTCAGCTTTACTGTGACGATAGCCGACTCCAGCAGTGCGGACAACACGTCCGTAGCAGCCAGCATTCATGTGCAAGGCAATGCGGTGTGCCTGGAAAGCCAGTTCAGTGTGCGTCGTGTGGCCAGTAATCAGGCTGAGATTGTGCTGACATCATACGGGTACTTCATGGATTCTGGCGGTAAGCCACAAGATAGGAAGAGAAGTGCCGCGCTCGTGAGCATTGAGCATGTAGAGAATTCTGCGGACATTGCCATTTTCTGTAGAGTTCAGACCAAGTTGAGTCGGTGTCCGTGCTATGGCCTATTTTTGCCATCAGAAGAAACCCAAGCTCAAGCTAGATGTGGTTCAGTAAAGGTCTGGAGTTTGGCCGCAAAATGCACACTATCCTCTCACTATGCAATGCACTCACATATATGTGCAAACACTCTCCTTATCTCTCCTCTCGTCATTTTCCTATCCGAATGATGGATGCATGGACCAACTTTAGAACCCAAGACCCAAGACCGTCGGTTCATTGGAGAGGTCATACACCTCATCAACAGCACGTATACCATGTTTCCTTTTTGCCTGTGCTGTCCTTTTCCCATCGTGTTGTATCCCCATCCCCAATAAAACTGGTCAGTCACGTTGTTCAGTGTGGTTGACGAAAATTCTGCACAGGGCCGAATGCTGCTGCTCACCCCTATATATCAGTGTGCTTCGGTAAAAAATAAACAAGGAAAAAGTTATGTGGATGAGGTTTCATCTACTGCAGCACAGATGTGTGCGCATTCACTCATTCTTTTTGTGCTTTGTCAGGACAGGAGGTACAAGTACGCTTCAACCTTTCATACAGGACATTTGTAGCTTTCTTCTCCTTCGGTGCCCTCTCCAAGCCCACCTTCCCACCGTCAGATAGAGTTGCAGCATGGCAAAGCCATAATATGCCAAGATGATCACACAAAATTAGTCTTGCTTGCTGTGGTTTGCTTGCATGTGCTTCGATGCAGAATGCCGTCGCTGTGTGGCTGGTGAGTACTGTCCAGGAGATGGCACAAAGGGCAGGTGTGGATGTGCGCCACCACTGATGAACTGTTCTCTGGCAACCCTCTACTCCCAGGGCTTGGCAAGAAGGTGCTCCCTGTGCCCCGAGGGATCGGTGAGTAGTGAACAAGTAGAAAAGGCATACCGTACTTTCCAGAGTGTACGCTGCTGCACTTTAAAGACCAGTAATTCAACTTTTAAAAAATTCCCTGTGGCTTTTACAACAATGGTCAAATTAACAGTGATAAACTCGGTAAATTTATAGAAAAGAAAAAGGACCAAGAAACTACAAATTCCGCCACAATGTCCACTAACACCACCAGTTACTAAACAATCAGATACTGCCGTTCTACAACTAACTGGCTGACAGCCCTAGCACATCATCGGTCAGTGTCGTGCAATGTTATCGCATGAGCTGATTGTTTAGTAACTGGTGGTGTTAGTGAACATTATAGCGTAACTTGTAGTTCCTTTGTCCTTTTTCTTTTCCATAAATGTATCCTTGGCTCTCCATCCAAAGTCCATTGTTGCATAAACTGGGTAGCATAAACTGGGTAGATGTCAGTTTTTCGCGAGGAAAAATCTAGGTGCGGCTTATACTCCAGTGCGGCTTATACTCCAGTGCGGCTTATACTCCAGTGCGGCTTATACTCCAGTGCGGCTTATACTCCAGTGCGGCTTATACTCCAGTGCGGCTTATATACTCCGCAGGATATGGTAGGTATAGGTTTGTGGTCCAAATGTGTTGTGCCTCTAGATTGTGGTGTTCCTTAGCAGTCGGTTGCATGTTGGCTTTGGAGCTTTCCTTTCGCGATGTTGGAAATGATGTGGAGGTTTTGATGATTTACACGAGTTGAGCGAGAATAAAGCAGAAGCATGCAAGAGTGAGAGAGAGAAACCATCCTTAAAGACCACAATCAATAGGACAAGCTGAATCAACATGGAAACCTTATTCGTGCAAGCCGGGAGTATGTGAAGTGGTGCATGCTGTTTAATGCGTGCATTCAGGTGCTGAACAGTCCTACAAACATACCGACTGTCGGCATTCAACGTTGTAGATGAGATGACCGAGGTGGTGGGTTGGTAGGACATCCTTCCGCATCGTGAACACATGCATCGTTATAAAGACTGATACAAGTGTACTGCGTACTATGTTCGACGAACGACAGATCTTACTGCACGGTACACTTTGATAGACGCCTGCCCTTTCCACAGCAAACATAAATAGATGGGACAACAGACAGGACCAACTAACAGAGGTTTTTGAGTGTGCTCGATGGACGGCAACTTCTGCAACAAAAACTCCGGGTAACCATTTTTCACAAACACAGTGCGGAGAAAGTTTGGCAGGACGAACAAATGCGCTTCGCACGATCTGCAAGGTTACGCATTAAGTTGACTTGGTACTGAGAAGAACAATACGAATCGTGCACAATGTACTGACCGGTGAAAGTCGGCTTTCGGTATATGGATCAGAACCTCACAAGTCGACTTCTCTACAAGTACATTTCTGGACTTTTCGTGTTCACACGTGAAACGAAGGGCAGAATGGAGGCCGTTTAGCAAATCGAGAAACACCTCGCTACACTCTACATTGTCGAAATAAGTAAGCGAGTCTTCGACAAAGCGAACGTAAAGATCAGGCCACAACGAATCATCAATTCTTGACTCGCAGTGACCTACACATATGTTAGGTAATACCGGATCAAGGGACGAACCATAGTAACACCATCTACCTGTTTATACGTCACATTGTTAGACGAAAACTCAACTCCAGTTGTACCCAGCAACATCAATCGTCTGAGCGCCATTTCAGACATCCACGACTTGGCCATATCGTCTTCTTCTTAGCCAATTTCCAAGCCGATTATGCTTCAGCGGGCCATCTTGGAGTGTAAAGATTGCTGCATTCTGACAGTACAGGCATCGATACACAGGTACAGATCAAGAACGACCACAAACAGCTATTGAGAACCGTCATAGTCACCCAACATGGCTTTCGGTCCTTGTTCTTCTCGGCACACAAACTAATCGTGTTGCGAAGCTATTCCTGCCTCACGATTACGAGGTAGACCCATTGACGGGGAACATCAGAAATGGTACGGTGTTTGTTCGAGCGCTGAAACTTGGCTCATGTTGCATCGTCTTGGATCGCTGCTGCTCTTGACCCATGCCTAGAATGGCGCAGTCGCAACAAGTTAGGAGCGACCTGCTGTGCACCTGGATTGCGTGAAGGCGTCGAAAAGACAAGAGTACCTCCTTCCAGTACTCATGATTTCAATCACAGGTTTTCCACTAGTGGAAGGTCATGTATCCACTGTGATTGCACCTATTGAGTTGCTCTTCTTACCGAACCCGCTTTGAAGTGGTTTATCACATGATACTAGTAATAGTGACCATCTCTGCAAGTGAACCGTGCCGGCGCAAGCATCATTTTATTGATTTGCTGACACGGTGTTTGTTCCTGTGTTGTTGCGTTTGTCCATCGGTAGCTGTGTGCTAATGGCCTGATCACACCTTGCGCCGATGGCTACTATGCCGACAAGTGCTCACTGGCTGTAAGTACGTATGCTGGACTCGACGTGAGGGACCTGTCCCACACTGGAGGTTGAATGATCACCAGACAAAACCATTTTGATTGATTAGAATGATTTTGTCTGGTCGCGTAAGCACGAAACTTTGACTCGCAAGAAAGCCTTGCCCTACTGTGTTAGTGAAGAAGCTTGGTCTGTTGCGTTGTTGAGCACTGTGTGAACAGGGAACTAGCTCTACTGCGAATGCATTGGCGGGTGAATGTGGAAGGTAGCCCCGTTCAAATAGCTGTCGACGTTGTGCCCAACCCGCAGCTAAAACTGTGAGCCCAGACTTTTGTAGAAATCATTGCCTCTAAGGTGTTATACAGGCTGGGACTAACGGAATGGATATTTCTATAGCTGTGCCTGGCTGTGTTGTGTTGCTGTGTGTCTTTCTCCCACCGGTCAGTCATGTCCTGCACAGTGTTCACCGTGTACTAAAGGCAGTGCCTGTACTGCAGGTGTGCGTACTCTCTGCAGACCTGGCACATACTCGGCAGCACGTAAGTCCCAACTGAAGTGTTCACTATACCCAGTACATGTACATGTACATGTTGTCTGATTGCATTGCATTGCATTGTATTGCATTGTATTGTATTGTATTGTATTGTGTATTTTTTACTTGGGCATTCCCAACAGACCCTAACTAAGGTCTTCTTACAGGTTGCCGAAAGATACTGCACATACGTAGTCGGGGATCTGAAGTGCATAGTAGGCTCCAGACCACCTAGCCAAATTTGCACCGGGATCACATGTATTCCGTGCTGCCACTACTGTTCCTCTCTACTAAAGCATAGCTTACGATGGCCTGGATTAATGTAAATAGAATGGCTCTTTAGGCTTGAAGCGGCCATTGATGCAAGTACTGACTAAGAACTTTGTATGGGACATGTACAGGATAGCGATGTACAGGATAGCGCGCTAGGCATGGTGTGTCACGTGATGACAGCCCTACCACACACACACACACACACACACACACACACACACACACACACACACACACACACACACCCGCACGCACACGCACACACACACAGAGACACACGAAATATAGCGATGTGGACCCTGGCTAGCTAAAGTAACGTCTCTTGCATAGCTTCGAGAATACCTTTACCTATTGGGTGTTTGTGCTGCTTCTGCAGTGAAGTGCCTGCCATGTCCACGGGGCACGTTCTCTTCCCAGTGGGGCTCTTCCTTCTGCTCCTGTTGTGGTAATGGCATGGAGAGCTCCTACGCCAGAGATACCTGCGTGCCGTGTCAACCCAACGAGTTCTCAGTGGCTTTGAACACTTCAGTGAACTTGACGGCAACGACCGACGGAAATGTCTGTGGTCACTGCACGACCTGTGCCAACAGCACTCAATGTAAGCGAATAGTTGCCGAAAACCTCAATGACGCAATGTTGACTGCGTTGTTGTTATCTTGCTTTCGATGGTAAGGCATGCCAGCGATTGTTCTACAAATACCTATATGCATTCCTAATGTAATGGCTAAATCTCCTTGCCGTATTCACCGTCTTCGCGCTGTTCCTCCCATTTTCAGCTTTGATATGATGAGGTGTGATTGTGCAACAGAACGTATTGCAAAAGGGTCGACTTCATGTACACGATCACAAGTATTTATATAAAAAGATACGTCAACTGAAACCTCTGTTCCTGCTGTGCGTACACATTCACATATCAGCACACGAATCACAGAAGCCATATAGTTTTAACTAAGCCTTTCGTTCTATTACTTTTCAAGTCGAAAAGTGATGAAGAGTAATGGTACGAAAGGCCTAGTCGAAATTATATGGCTTCTGTGATTCGTGTGCTGATTTGCTTTCTTCCAACCAAGAATCTATACATTCACAGGCCCAATGAAGAATACAAAATTAATACATGTTCAGCCATGGTTGGCTATAAAAACCCTGCAATCGCCATGCAAAGTGGTCATTGGCTACCCCAGCCATGTATTGCTTGGAATAAAATAAAAAATAAATAAAAAATAATACATATTTGGGTACATCTTTTGATGCACTGTTTCCCTGTGGTGTTTTGCTGTTTCTGATTTCAGGTCCCTGTCTACAGGACTACTCGCCATGTCCCAGTCATGTCCGCTGTGTCAACCTTGTTACCAAGGTACCGGCCTACTCATGTGGGAAGTGTCAGCCGGGCTTGGTGCGCAATGGAAGTCGATGTGACGATATTGATGAGGTTAGACAAAGCACGCACAGCGCTCAAAACGTTTTCGGTTATCCTATTGAAAACAAGTTAGCTGCCACTGAATAACTCGACATGATAGACAACAGGCAGTGAATGGTATACATCGGGGTGCTGCTTAATAAAATGCGATGAGTGGTCAACTACAGTCCATTCACAAATGATTGATCTTATTATTCTTATAACATTTTCAAATCCGATTTTGATCGAATTGGGCTAAAAAAACATTTATAATTCAATGATGCCGGAAACGGGTTTTGGACCAGCATGTCGGTACAATTATTAATGGGAAACCCAGTTGAAACACTCAAACCTGACCTAAAAACTAACTTCCCTAGGGTTTTGGAAGGTTTAGGAGAACGTCAAATTCAAAGGAGAAGTCGGGCTATGGCTTATCTTTTTTTGGAGACACGAATAGCATTCCAAACTGCATGCTATTTTGAAAATGGTCACCCGTTGACCTGGTTAAGGCCCAATGCAATATGATGAACCTTTTTCTGAATGGACTGTAGTGCCGGCCGCTGCGTCACCAGACTGGGCACTGGTGCAGCGCAATAACTATTCGTAAGATCGGATTTTATTAAGAAAAAAACCGTACAAAGAACTCAGATGGTGAGCCAAGGAAAAATTTTAACATGGAAAAATGCGGGGCACAAGTTATGCGATGGCCACCTTTTCCATGTTACAACTGTACTAGGGTACCGTAGAATCCCGCGGATAAGTCCACCCGCGGATAAGCCCATGCTCGCGCATAAGCCCAGCGTTAGTTCGAACATACAGAGCTTCGTCGTACAAACCCGTGGGCCTAGATCATACCAAGAGTCCATAAATTATGGACTCTTGATTATACCATGTACATAGTCATGTAGGTTTTTTTGGTACATTTCAGCACAATCATCGGTTGTTTTCGTTTGCACAGTGGTTTTCAGCAATGTACTTCTCACTTCCTTGATACTTTTCAGTAGCACATTTTTGGTGTCGGTGTAAAAGCCCATGTTCACGTATAAGCCCACCGAAATATCCTTGTGAAACAGATAAGCCCATGGGCTTATCCGCGGGATTCTACGGTATACCTTTGAGACTTATCCAGGATAAGTGACAGTACTATTAGTATTAGAAGAAGCAGTGGTGTCTGCATGGCCAGCTGGATGTGCAGGTCGTGACGGGCAGTATGCGCTTGGGTGGTGGCTCGTCTGCAGCAATGGATGTTGGCTGCCTAATCAGTTGCGATTGGAATGCGTTCTGGCAGTTATGCTGCTCCTAAAGATGGTTATCAGTAGTTGTTCAGGGTACGGACAACACAAGTGCATGTCCAAGGAAATTGAAACGAAGAGAAAAAGAGAGTAGAGAAGTGTTAGAAGTACAGGAACGAAGAAATAGAGAAGAGAAGCGTTCTTGAGATGAAGAGTAGAGAGAAGAGCAGAGAGACAGACTGGAAAGAAGTTCTACAGAAGACGCGAGAGAGAGAGAGGAAAGGTGAGAGAACAGACAAAACGAAAATAGCAAAGGTAAAAGTCCGAGCCACAACAAAGTCAAACAATGTCTATCTTGTTGACAAGTTCAACCATCAGGCAGGAACAGTAGAAGTCATGAAGAGTGGGAACATACCGTCTGCATTGACCACCGCACAATCCATCATATTGAACACTGTCTACTTCGACGATTTCCGGGTTTCGCCAGAGGCAACAGTACTGCTCCACCAGCTGATGAAACGTGTCCACTGCGCCCATGGAAGCATTGTAGTCTGCCACTGTCTTTCGGTAGCTGTACTTCTACTTTGTGCGAAAACCAGCAAAATAAGGGAAATGAGAGAAAATTAAGGGAAACTGGGTGTGTGACTAAGGGATTTGCTTTGGCTGGGTTGGCAAGTATAGTGGTGGCTAGCTGCATCCTTTCCCTTCCGGTTGCTCATAGTGCTGTCATTGCCACGGTGCGCAGTGCACAATCAACAACTTCTTGCCCTTCTATTGCTGGTGGAGGATGGTGCTGTCCCTGATGTACCGGGAAGTATCATACTTGATGCAGCGCTCAATAATTCAACGTTAGTCTTCATCACAGGAGGGAAACCACGGTGATTCATGACTCTTCTTCCCACAAACTGGATGTCGCGCTGCACAAGAGAGTCCGCCAGCTTTATGAAGGTACAGAAGTTGTATTTGAAGACAATATGATACCGACCCTTCAGTTCTGCCATCAATCTGAGCACTACGTCTTGTGCGAGTCCTCCCGCAGTATTTTCTTGGCCAGTGTAGATTTCGAAGTGGAGCACGACGGATCGTATGCTGCGAAGGCCTTGAAGCCCCACCGTGTGGGCTTGTTTGATAGATAGCATTTTCCACGAAATCTATGTGTTCCAGTCGCAGAAGTAAAGAGAGGAGCATGGTGGTGGTTTTGGTGGTGGGGCCCTTTAAGCTCAGCCGGTCAGCCGCACGGCGCGTGCCGTATGACCGCGGCACTGGCCACATGCGCAACGCCTTGATGGCGGGACAGCGCAATACGCGGTTATCAATTGTCACGTGTCATTTGACCAGCACTGGCGATGTGTAAGACCTGATGTCTCATCCTACTGATTCACCGAGTTCTGCAGCCAATGGCGAATTGAACACAGTACTATATCTTCAGTGAAAAAGTACACCTAAATAGAGTTGCTATAACCAAGACATTGGCTGCTAAAATAACAATAAAATTAACCAACAGCCAATGATTGTTTCACATCTACGGAAACGAAAAGTGAGTCTTTCCCTTCGCCGAAACTTACATTCCATACGTTCTTGGAGTTTGGCTGTGCAGTATCTGGATTTTCTGGAGTGGCTATGGAGCGTTTGCAAACATGGGAACTTTTGAACGGCTTTGCACTCGCGAACAGACGAGAGAGAGAGAGAGTTCAAAAGTTCTAAACTTGTGCTTAGAACATGGACAGTGTATGTCGAGCCACTCCAGTCACCAGCGCTCTTAGCAGTAATAGTGAGCAGTATTCTTCTGTAATATGTACCAGTTCAGAAAAGGTACTCTGATGCCAGCAAGCTCTACTTCAAATTTCCTGTACTTAAAAACCAGCTCCTGGCTACTGGAGCGTGAAAATCCCGAAAGGCATTCAGATAAACTCTACTTAAATTTCCCGTGTGTGTGTGTGTGTGTGTGTGTGTGTGTGTGTGTGCATGCGCACGCACGTGTGTGTGCGTGTGTGTGTGCGCACGCGTGCGTGCATGTGCGCATGTGTATGTGTGTGTGTTTGTCCAGTGTCTGACTGCAGGGTTATGCTCACCACTATCCCAGTGTGTGAACACAGTCCCCGGCTACTACTGCTCAGCATGTCCTGGAGGCTATACAGGCCTGACACCGGCTGCTTCTAGTTTGAATGTCAGCAATGTCACTTCACAGGTATGTTATGATTGTTATGACAAAAGAAAGTTGGCTGTTCACATCGTTCCAACTAACACTTTCCCTGCTGGCTTGCCACTTGACTGACTGGTGCAAGGATTATCATGGCTGTCGTTTAGAGCAGGCAAGGATCTTACCAAACCTTTGACTCTGCAAACCGGCAAAAGGCCCGTAGATGCTCATTGCGACTTGCCTAGGAAAATCATCTCTCGTTAGTTGAGCTGGACTAAGCTGAGAACTAACTGCAATGTTGTGAACGGTTCCATCAACCTTCTGTGAGCGGGATGAAGTACCGTGGTGTGATATGGTTACAATAACCCTCTCCTACACAACCTTTTGTTGTAGCAGGAATTTCAATGCTGAGTGCAAGCGGACTACCTTTGAAGAATGATGCGGTATTTCAATACAAACGCAATGTCGCATCTGACCATCATTATTTCTACTCCAATGTCTGCCATAAGCAAGTAGAAACGTGCCTTAGAACCCGGGGGCGTCGAAAAAGTATTCTACATTGGTGCGAGTAAGAGAAGGGGGTTCGGGGGCCTTCCCGCGGAAAATATTTAGGAAAATTGGGTCCGAAAAGCCCATATTTCATTATTAAAATCACAGTGATGAAGTTGGTTGCTCCTACGTCGCTTGCTGCCAAACTTGACACTTGACTGACTCACTTACACCGGACTGCCATCCGGAGAAAGTCCCTAGCACCAGTACAGCTGCCTGTCGGATTGGACTGCCAACAATCTCACCTCAACCCAATCATCTGAGAGTGCTTATGCTGGGACAGAACACTCAGTGTACATCTTTTGATGATTAGGTAGGCAAGAACTCCAGCTTCTAGCACCCATTCTCTTAGAGTGAATCAGTGGTGGTCTATCCCATACAACGGCGATTATGCTGTACCATACGTTTCTGTTTGCAGGTGTGCAATGACATTGATGAATGCATTGTCAGTAACGGTGGATGTGATCTGCACAGTGTGTGCCATAACATTGATGTAAGTAGCAACCAGCAAGGTAACTTGTGTATGTGTCCGTGTATGTGTCCGTGTATGTATCCGTGTGCCCATGTGGAAAGCCTGACCAAGAGCATATCACACATTGTGCAGTGTGATTATGCCCGTGATATCACACATTGTGCAGTGTGATTATGCCCGTGATATCACACATTGTGCAGTGTGATTATGCCCGTGATATCACTTCTTCTTATCCAGGTTCAGTGGGTCATGTGACCATATTCACATGTGACATATCATTTTGATCAGTGTACCACACTGCACACACCTATACTACTATAGATGTGCTGCTTGTATTTAAAATCGCCATATAATGTGTACGTCAGACCAGCTGAGCATGTGGAAGTACAATCATGTACATGCACACTGCGTACATGAATCTAGAAGAAATTTTGCAGGCTTGTATACAATACAGGTACAGTCAACTTGGCTAATAACGACTGCGGATATAACGACTGCGGATATAACGACAATTCGCGAACAACGACAGATGTTCCATGCCCAGAGCAAAGTCCATTCTACCTGTATGCATATAATGAGACTTCGGGTATAAGGACACTTCGCGAATAAGGACACTTTTCTGATGCCCGGCCGAGTATCGTTATAAGCAAAGTTGACTGTACTTCTATGTACATTATATGCAACACTAAAACCAGGCTTATGTGCCGATAGTGCATAACCGAAAACCAGGCTTATGTGCCGATAGTGCATAACCGAAAACCAGGCTTATGTGCCGATAGTGCATAACCGAAAACCAGGCTTATGTGCCGATAGTGCATAACCGAAAAATCAGGCTTATATTCAAAACTACATGTCAAATCACTGAGTCTTGGAGAAAATTCACCCTGACGTGGATCGCCGTGCTTCAGCTCCAACACGTACCACCTGGGAACGTAGCATTTGGAGCAGCGTCGAAGAAGCTTGGTAGAGCTCTGTGGCTGAGTCACAAGAAAAGCCGTTACGTCCTCCAGTGCATTCATAGCGTCATGGTAGGATTTCGTGAGCAGCTGGCCCTCTTCAGGTTCGTCGTTATCATCATGATCACGCTCATCACCGCTACAACTTGCACCTTCGCCGCTTTGCTGCAATGCTGCCAGGACGAGCTCTTCCTCCCAATCCTCTCCCAGGGTTGCAAATGACATGGTCTCGTGACTCACTCTCGTCATCAAATGATGTGTACGCATCAGCAGTACAGCCACTTCTAACCTGAACAAGCAGAGATTGAAGGTCTGCGGAGTCACTGGATTCTGAAGAAGGCTCCACTGTCTCATCCTCAGTAAGGTCAAATTCGGTGGGTTCTTCAGTGGATGGCTGAACTGGAGCTTGACATTGCTGACACAATCGCTGAGATTGGGGTGGCAGGGTGCGTTGTCCATGAACAGCAAATCTTCCGATCTCGCCTCTTCATGTCGCTGTCCACGTTTCTCAGCCACTCCTCAAAAAGCTCAGAATTCATCCACGCTTTGCGATTGGACTTCCAAGTCACGCCGAGAGCAGTCAGATTGATATTTCTGAAGCAGCGAGGCTGAGCGGATTTGCCTATCACAAATAGCTTCAGCTTCTCACCTGTCATGGAGCAGCAGAACATCACAGTAAGTCGTTCTTTTGATTGCTTTCCTTCTCTGCAGTCCTCTCCTCGTTGGACGAGAGACTTCTCAGGGAGCGCGGCGGTTAAAAAAATCCACTCTCGTCCGTATTGAAAACGTTCTGCGGTTCGTAGTCTTTATGGAGGGCATTGACTCCCTCTTTCCAGTCGTAGACAACGGCAGTATCCATATCGGTGGACTCTCCGCTCAAGGTAGCAAACTTCACGCCGTAGAGATTCCTGAAGGATACCAACCAGCCGTTCGATTCAGCAAACGATTCGACGCCAAGGCGTTCAGCAAAACTCTTCGCCTTTTGGCAGATCATTGGTCCGCTCAGGGGAATACACTTCGCTCTGCACATACGGAACCACTCCCAGACCAGACCAGGCCGTTCAGATCTTCGTTACCCGTCTCCGGGAAATTCTTTTCTTTGTCAGTGGAGCACCAGTTTCCGCGTACATCAGGATCGCTTCTTTGTGCAGCAGGATACTCTGAATCTGCGTCTTCCAAACTTTCACTTCGTTCGCAATTTTCCGCGCAGACATCCCCCTTTCCGACATCTTAATCACCTCCAGCCTCTCCTTGAGCTGCAAAGCCTTTGGCTTTCCCATCGTTGAATAAAATCTCTTTCAAACAAAACAGACTCGCTGCAGTGGGTCGATCTACATGCACTGCGTGTAGCTGCATCAATGACAATGAGCCTGCAGCTAGCGAGCGCTGATCAAGCAAGACTGTGTCATGCGCCTGCGGGCTTCACACCTGTCAAGTGTCATGCATGCACCGCGTACATCTACGCTTCCTGCGGCGCACATGCACAACTTAAGGTGTAGATCTACAATGTACAACATCATGTACATTTAACATGCAACACGGTCGCGGGTGGGTGGTCGTCGGGTCGCGTTGAGCGAGTGGTCGCCTTATCCGAGTTGTTTTGAATGTGAATGCGTCCGTGACAAGGAAAAGTGGTCGCCATGGTCGAGTGATCGCCATATCCGAGTGGTTGCCATTACAAGTTTTACCGTATATTACTGCTATGCACAATACACATGAGTACCTACATAACAAGAGTACATATATAACAAGAGTACATATATAACAAGAGTATATTATATAACACATGAGTTTGAAAATACTCAGTGCAGTTTATGCATCTGGTGTGCATGGCGTGTTGTATTCCAGGGTAGCTTTTACTGCGGCCCTTGTCCGTCCGGCTACGTCGGCAATGGAGACGATGGGTGCACGTACGTTGACCCGTGTGCTGCCGGTGTGCACAGCTGTGACTCGAATGCCGTCTGCAGAGTGCTGTACGGGGACAGATCTATCTGCCAGGTTAGTCCACACTGGGCACACGACAGATCTATCTGCCAGGCACACAGTCAAAATATTCTTCGAGCCATTCGAGAAATAGATTAAAAAAACCCGACCGCATGAAAGGAAAGATCCACAAATTATGATCATGTGCGATCTCCTGGATAGATTTAGTTGAAGGTGTAATAATAATGATAATAATAATAATAAAACAGGTCGCGTAATGAAGCAGCATAACGATAGATGTGCAAAGTCATGATGCCTGGTCCGCTTCTGTCCTGGGTTCACTACCCCGTGCGTTGCAGCCGCGAGCAAAACCAGCTCAGGCTGAGAGTTCCCTCCATGATTGCTTGTCCAAAGCGCGCATTCTGAGCCCACTCAGATCAGTCATGGTCTTCAGTGGCATGTCTCTGGCAGCTGTGCTTGCCTTGACTGCCGTGGCCAGGTTCGATTACGGGCGTCCACGCACACCGGTGACATCTCGACGGAAGTAGTTGTCCATTGCCTGCTGTGGCGGGGCATCTGAGGGCATCCTCAGAACATGACCCAACATCCGGAAACGGCGGACAGCAACGGTGTGCGAAAGTGGCTGTGTGTGTGCTCTGGAATATAGGTCTTTGTTGGAGATGATGGCGGGATACCTAATTCCGAACAAGTTCCGTAGTTGATGTCTATGGAAGGCGTTCAGCTTCTCCAGTTCTGCCTCTGTCAGTCCCCAGGTTTCGCAGTTGTATAACAGTGTTGGTAGGACGATGGCATTGTAGAGACGAAGCCTGGTTTCCTCGGATACAAGTTGACGTCGTATCCAGAGCGAATACATG